ACTGCTGGTAGCATCCAGCCCCAGTAGATGCCGCACTGTTCCTTTTGTTCCAGCTTTGATCTTCCGTCTCCTTGGCCCTTCACCACTCTATTGTTTTTAATCTTTAAAAAAATTACATTTTGTGTGTGTGTTTGCGCACACACGTGTTCAAGCACCCACGTAGGAATCAGAGGACAGTTTGCTGGCGTTGGTCCTCTTGCCTTTTACCTACCGAGGATCTCACTAGTCCTCACTCTTATTTTCTAGAAGCTACAAAGGAAATGAAATGTTCTGCAGACAAGGTTGGCCATGAAGGGCTCTTTGTCCTGTAGCAAAGTCTGATCATACGGCATATTAGTTACATTAGTTACTGTTCTTGCTGGGAACAAACACATGACAGAAACAATATAAGGAAGGAAGACAGCCTATCATGACGGAGAAGACATGATGGCGGGGGACAGAAGGTGTTTTGTCTCACGACATCCACAGTCAGGAAATAAATGCTGGCACCCACTTGCTTTCTCCTTTTTATGAAGCACAGGACCCCAGCCTGTCCATAGCCAGCACTGCCCTCCTTCGGGGTGGGTCCTCCCTCCTCCGTTTGACTTAGGTAGAAACTCCATCGCGGACACACCCAGAGATGTTTCCATGGTGACTCTACATGCTGTTGAGTTGACAGTAAAGATTCACCATCACAGATGGCCACCCTCAAGCCCGTGTGTAACATGCCTCTTGGTGGCGGTTCATTGACGTTGAAGCACCAGGAACACCGGGCCTAAGCTAGAATACTGATGCTTTTATTAGTGTCGGGATCAGGTGGAGGGAACTGTGAAACAGGTGTAGTCACTCTGGACCTGAGGCTGGGGTCCCTATCAGAGTAGCCCATCCTGGGTAGTTTCGGTAAGCCACAGAAGCCACCCTTGATGGCTGTCTGTGTTTGTGTGCATGTCCTTGTCCATGCATGTCATCACATATATGTGGTGGCCAGAGAGCAGCCTTCAAGTGTTGCTTGTATCCTGCAACATAGATCAAATTCAGGCTTGGTGGTGTGCGCCTTTTAGCTCCTGAGCCATTCTGGTGGCCTACTTAAAGAAAAAGAGTCTGTTCACTAGGTGATAATTCTAAAAGCCTGGGAGCAATGGATTCTTTGAGGGTGGAGGAACCCCCTTTAAAATGTAGTTACCCCCTTTCTTTGTTTCTTGCCTAGTAATACATTTTCATCGCAGAAACATTGAGATGTTAAGAAAAAAACAATCATAGGCTCAGAACCATGTTTTGCTATGTGGTTTTGTCAGCTTGTGACAAATTATTGTTTACACCAATAATTTCAGCATTGAGACAAAACTGACAATATTTTTTTTAATGTTCCTTAATTTTCTTCAAATGGTTTCTGTTTGTTTCCTTGTCTGGTTTTGAGAGAGGATCTCATTCAGCCAAGGCTGGCTTCAAACTCCCTACACAGCCAAACCTGGCTTTGAATTCCTAACCCTCTTGCCTCTGCCTCCCAAGTACTGGGATCACAGGCGTGTGCCACCACATCTGGCTCTACCATTTCCCCGCAGCTGCAGTGGAAACACTGAGCACTTCCTGCATGGTGTGCATTGCGTAATGCACTCACAGAACTTGCTGCATTTTCCTAGGACACTTGCAGGTGGTTACTTCAAGCAGTCAATTGCTGGACTTGTAGACACGCTGCAGTTCATCATTAAGGGGAAAACGTCAAACCTGAACTTTATACTGTTTTATGTGCTGTAATAAAGATTTTTTTAAAGGATTTCCCAAAGGCATTTAGGAATATATATATATTCATATATATATACACACACACACACACACACACACACACACACACACACACATATATTTATTATGTATACAATACTCCCTGTCTGTATGCCTGCAGGCCAGAAGAGGGCACCAGACCCCATTACAGATGGTTGTGAGCCACCATGTGGTTGCTGGGAATTGAACTCAGGACCTTTAGAAGAGCAGGCAATGCTCTTAACCTCTGAGCCATCACTCCAGCCCAATAAAGATTTTTTTTAAAAAAAATTTATTTATTATGTATACAATATTCTGTCTGCATGTATGTCTGCAGGCCAGAAGAGGACACCAGACCTTATTACACATGGTTGTGAGCCACCATGTGATTGCTGGGAATTGAACTCAGGACCTTTGGAAGAGCAAGCAATGCTCTTAACCGCTGAGCCATCTCTCCAGCCCCCTGTAATAAAGATTTTGTAGCCAGGCATTGGTGGTGCGTGTCTTTAATCCCAGCACTTGGGAGGTAGAGGCAGTTGGAGCTCAAAATTCGAGGCCAGCCTGATCTACAGAGTGAGTTCCAGGACAGCCAAGGCTACATAGAGAAACCCTGCTCAAAAATAAATAATAAATTAGAGAGAAGCGATTTTATTATGATGGCATAATAGACTTGGAAGCATAGAAATGCGTGCTTACAGTGAAGATGCTATGGTCAGTGTGGGCCAGCCGGATGGCTCAGTGGGTAGAGGTGCTTGTTAGTGAAGCTTGGTGGCCTAGGTTTCATGCCCAAGATGCACATGGTAGAATCATGCAGGTCTCTGGAAAACCAACTTCCAGAAGTTGTCCTCTGATCTCCATATGCAGAGCGGCATGCTCCAACTACTAAATTAATAAATGTAAACTGTTAAAAAGGGCCAGATGATTATATAACCTGGGATCATGACAAATGCAATCTTGTGTGTGGGGAGGGGGTTGGTTTATTTAGGTTATTTTGTTTTGATTTAGTTTCTGTCTATTTAGCACTAGCTGGCCTCAAACGTTCTTGATGGGGAGAGACAGGACCTCTCTACACAGCTCTGACTGTCCTAGAACTCACTCTGTAGACCAGACTGGCCTCAAAAATCACAGAGCTCCGCCTTCCTCTGCTTCCCAAGTGCTGGGATTAAAGGTGTATGCTGCAACCTCCAGCCAGGTCCCAACTCTAACCCGTGATTCTGTATTCTTTTCACTGCTGTGACGGTGTACCCAACTGAAGCACCTGAAGGAAGGAGGGCTTTATTTGGCTTACAGTCCAAGGATACAGTCAGTCAAGCCGGGGAAGGCACGGTGGTAGGAGTGTGAAGCCCCCGGGTGCACTGTATCTACAGTGGAGATGCGGCGGGAGATGGATGCTGGTGCTCAGCTTGGTCCCCCTTTTATTCAGCCCAGAATCTCTGAATACTGGCAGGCTCTTGCCCAGAGTGATGGTGGTTCTTTTTAAACCTACTCTAGAGATTCTTTCACAGACTTGCCAAGAGGTTTGTCCCCAGCGGTTCTAGATCCTGTAGACTTGGCAGTCAAGGTTAACCATCATGGGTACCCTGGGCAGCCTCCCCAGTTTTTAATATGATTTGCTTCAAGTACCGAGCAGCTCCTGCTGAGGCTCTCAGTATGAAATTCAAAGGTCAAGTATGGTGGCATGGGTCTGTGATTGTAGCACTTAGGAGCCTGAGGCAGGCTTGAGTTTGATGACTTGAGTTTGAGGTGAGCAAAGGGCTACAAAGAGATATGATATTAAAAAACAAAACAAACAAACAAAAAAAACGTGTGTAGTGGGGTGGTGGTCGGGTCATGGCACAAAACACAGTGATACCATTTCCAGAAATTCTATGTAATTAAAACTATGCAAGACAGAGGCCCGTTCTGGGTCTCAACATCTGTGGGCTGTCCAGTGAGGGCTAGAAAGCTAACAGGCAGTGTGCAGCCTTGCTCCTCTCATCATGGTAAATCCAATAGATTGAAACATCGGTAATGGGGGCCCAAAGATGTTCGCTCAGTGCTTAGGAGCCTGGGGCTCAGAATTCCCAAGCAACCATTATCAGGAGGCTCGCTCACAATAGCTTGCTAGTCCAGATTGCGGAGATGTGTGACAACCTCCTTCTGGTTTCTGTAGGTACCTGTACTCACACAGCCACACATATACACACCTAAATAAAAATAAATCCAATTTTAAAAGCGCCAATAATACACATTTCTAAACCCTTCTCCTAGAAGGTGGCTTCGTCTAGTGAGAACTGCTTCTTAGATATTTGATTCTTCTCTCTCTCTCTCTCTCTCTCTCTCTCTTTCTCTCTCTCTCTCTCTCTTCTCTCTCTTTGTTTATTTGTAGTTTTCACATTTTGAAAAATTTAGGTTAAGTAGCTAAAAATTTATAGGCCCTGTAATTTCCTCTAACAAGAAAATTCCTAAGGATTACATGCTATTTGTTATTGCAAAAAGGATCCTTGTTTTTATTTTCGTCTTTCGGATCTTTTGGTTTCTGCTTGGGATAGACCCCGGGGCCTTGTCCCTGCAAGGTGAGTGAGCATTCCTGGAGCCGTGCCGCAGTGCAGCTGGCCTGTAGAACAGGTTCTAGATGGTGACAGAGTTTCAATCACAAGACTTCCCGTTACCGAATGGCCCAATGACTAGATGACCACTTCTTTCCCCTCGAGCCTCACATTGTGTTGCTTTGTTTGGTTGATTTGAGTGTACTGGCAATGGAACTTCAAGCACTCTAAGCTGTACCTTAAGCCTTATAGGGCTTCCCAGACAGGTGCTCTATGTTAGTCACACTCGGGCCCCTAGTCGAGGGAGGTGGCATTCTAGCCACCTAGTACCCCTGAGTCACTTCTTAGCCTTCATTGGAGACAATATTGTCATTGATTTCCTCTCCAGACACATACAGAAGTACTTACTCACATGGTATCTTTCTTTTATTTTATTTATCTATCTTTTTAGGGTTTTTCATTTTTATGTATTTTTTTTTAAATACACGTCTGATTGCTTTCCACGTATGTATGTCTGGTGTCTGGTGCCTTCAGAGATCAGAAAAGGGGGTCGAATCCCAGGGAACTGAAGTTACTAATGGTGTACATTACCAAAACCTATGGGAACCGGGGTGCTAGGTGGAAGATGTGGAGTCTTGCTGGGAATGTTTCATCCTTTTAAAGGTTGCTTTGTCCTCTGTCCCTTGGCCTCTTTCATAGTCCCGTTTTTGTCTCTTCTCTCTCCCCGTTCAGATCCAGAGTTAGGTGTTGGACCACTGCCCGAACACGACAACCAAGATGCAGGGCCAATTGTCCCCAAGATCTCGGGTCTAGAGAGAAGCCAGGAGAAGAGCCAGGACTGTGGCAAAGAGCCCGTCTTTGAACCCGTGGTGCTCAAAGACTCTCATCCTCAGCTCCCCCAGCTACCGTCGCAGCCTCAGGTGGAACCCCGGCTCCAGGGTCCGTCTCCAGACCCCGACTTGGTCCAGCACACGGAGGCTCCGCCCCAGTTTCCTCCTCCAAGTACACAGCCAGCCCAAGGGCCCCCAGAAGCCCAGCTACAGCCTGCCCCACAGCCTCAGGTGCAGCGGCCACCCCGGCCGCAGTCCCCCGGCCATCTGCTCCAGCAGGCCCTCCCGCCGGTGCAGTCCCATCCCTCCTCCCAGAACCTCTCCCAGCCACTGTCGGCCTACAACAGCAGTAGCCTGAGCCTCAACAGCTTAAGGTGAGTGACCCTAATCTTTCTAGGACGGGGGTCACCAGACAGGAGCTTGGAGACGTTAGGATTGTGTGTTTGCAGTTCGTCCTGGTTTTCAATCAGTGGGTCTCTTGGGTTGGGTGTTGGGGACATTGGTAGGGTGTGAGGGTGGGGTAAAATTACTTCAGGAACTTGAGGTAATTTAGGAAGGAGGAGAAGATGGCTCCAAAAAAAAAAAAAAAAGGTTGAAGGATCCAGGCATGGCAGTACATGCCTTTAATGCCAGCACTCTGGGAGGCAGAGGCAGGTGGATTGTTTAGAGTCTGAGGCCAGCCTGTCTACAGAGAGAGTTCTAGGACAGCCAGGGCTACACAGAGAAACCCTGTCTCGAAACAAACAGGCAGAAGTGGGAGGTTGTACCAGCACAACTATGTGGATGGTAGAGTTGGGGACTGGGCAGGCGAGCTGAGGCACACCTGAAGATTTTTTTCACCAAAAGAGTCTGAGAAGGCAGGCCTCGGGCCTCAGGTGGGGGCCGCATTTTAAGAAAGCCATGCTGGTATTTCCAGAGGCCTGGGGCCCTCGGAGTTAGGGTTCCTTTTCTTAGGAAGTTCTTTCTCCTGCTGCGTGTCTCCCGGCTCTGTTGAGAGAATCCCTGCTGGAGAGCCCAGTTCCTTCTGCCTCGGGCCTCACCAAGGGAAGTTGGCAGAGTTGCTCAAATAAGTCTGCAGAGAAGAGGGAGAGGTCAGCCTGCAGGGTCCCAGTTCTAGCTCCACCGCTGTCCGCAGGCTCCATCTTCGTCACCGTGTGACTTCGATGGCTTAGGGACCCGTTCGTTGTGCTGCTGCCCACAGGGTCAGGGCTGGCTCACGGTCCTCTGAACCACAAGAGTGGTGTGAGCTGTCTCTCTGGTTGCTCTTGATAAAAATACTTGACAGAAGTAATTTAGAGAAGGAAGGGTTTCTTTTGGCTCACAGTTAGAGGGTCCAGTCTGTCGTGGTGGAGAAGGCACAGCGGCAGGAGTGTGAGGCAGCTGGTCACGTGGCATCCACAGTTCAAGCAGCGAGAGATGGGTGCTGGTGGCCGATTGATTTCTCCTTTTTGGCCAGTCCAGGACCACATTCCATGAGATAGCACTGCCCACAGTCAGGGTGGGTCTTCACAATTCGGCTAGCCTGGGTAAAGTCTCACCTATATGCCCAGACGGTTGGTTACGTCATAGGACATGAAACCCAACCTAACCTGACCCCTCACTTGTGCTGCCAAGGTGACAGTGTGAGGAGGGCAGAACTCAGAGAGTCACTTTATTTAATTTTCTTAGCTCAGCTGCTAGTGTGAAATATTTTGCAGCAGAGAAAAGAGGAGTCCTGACACTGAGGCAGGAGGAGCCATCTGAACAGGGTATGAAGGTACATCCGGAAATAGAGCAGTAGCTCCTGGCTTCTGTATCCGGTAGCCAGGGTGGTGCACAGCTGACCATGGTTCACAGGGCTGCTGGGTGCCAGGGAACATGGATGAAGAGGAAGGGATCAGGCAGGTATATCGAATGGCTATAGGCAGGGAGTAGGATTTTTAAAATTACATTTATATATTTATTTATATGTGTGTATTTGTATGTGTGGGCACATACGTGCCAGGTATGGAGGTCAAAGGGTATCTTGTAAAATTCAGTTCTCTCTTCCCATCATGTGGGTCTCAGAGATTGAGCTCTGGTAGTGGGACTGTCGGCAAGGGCCTTTACCCACTGAGCTGTCTCACCAGCCCAGCAAGGCTTGCTTCCTCCCTCCCTTCCTTCTTCCCTTCCTCCCTCTTTTCCTCCTTTCCTCCCTCCCTCCGTCCTTCCTTCCTTCCTTCTTGAAAAGTAAAGCTAGGGATACACCTCATTTGGCAGAATGCTTGCCTGATGGGCATGAACTCTTGGCTTCCATCCCCAGCGTGGTATAAATCAGACGTGGTGGTGCATACACAACTGTGATTCCAGTGCTGGGGAAGTGGGTGCATGGGGATCGTGAGTTCAAGGTCACCCTCGTTACATAGTGAGAAAAACACTGACCGACACAAAACACAAACGTCGTTGCTGACTTTCTCCCTTTTCTTTCTTGTTCTAACAGCAGAAGCGGTACTCCAGCCAAGACCCAACCCGCCCCTCCTCACATCTCCCACCATCCCTCCGCTTCTCCTTTCCCCCTCTCTCTGCCCAACCACAGCCCCCTGCACAGCTTCACGCCAACCCTCCAGCCCCCTGCCCACTCACATCACCCCAATATGTTTGCCCCTCCCACTGCTCTGCCTCCTCCCCCACCGCTGACGTCTGGAAGTCTGCAGGTGCCCGGGCATCCCGCAGGGAGCACTTACTCAGGTAAGATGAGGCAGCCTCATTGGTACACCTATACTCCTGGTGCCCCTTGCCAATTACCTCCCCACTGGACGGCATTACTTCACAATTTTCATCCCTCTCGGGTGTGTTCTTTGAGTCCTCTTCAAATCTTTTGTGACTGAGATTCAGCAAAGGTAAATACCAGAGCCTCTAAATTGCCCAGCAAAGACATAGTGAATTTGATACTGAACAAGAAAATGGAGTACCTAGTCACACCCCCCCTTTTTTTTAATGACATCACCACTGAGTAAAAATTAGATGTCACATATGGCATGTGCTCTGAGATACACATTTAAACTGTGACAGCAATTATGAGCCTGTGGGTGTCACTCCAGGACCTTTAGGCTGCACCTTGGTACAGGACTTTGTTTTGCCAAACAGGACCCTCTTCTATCATGTATTCTATTTGTTTTTATTATTTTAATTTTTTATTTATGTGTATATGCTTATTTGTGTGAGTGCGGTATGTTTGCATGCGTCACATCCACATGTGTGCAGGTAACTAACCAAAAGGGCCAGAAGAGGGTGTCCCCCAGAACTGGAATCCCATCTGATTGTGAGCTGTCTGACATGGGTGCTTAGAGCAAAACCAGGTTCTCTACAGGAGCAATATGAGCTCCTAACTGCTGAGCCGGTGTCTCCGTAGGGTGTCTTCTATGACTCTGTACCCCAGAATTTTAAAGACAGATGTGCTGAGGCTAGGGAGAAGGCTCAGTATAGGACTTGCCTTACAAAGCTGCGGTCCCCAGTTCAGTCCCTAAAACCCGCTAAAAAAAGATGGTGGTGCACACTTGCGATCCCAGCACTGGGAAGACAGAGGCGGACGGAATCCTAGGGCTCACTGACCAGCCCGTCTAGCTACCTTGGTGAGGTGCAGGCCAGTAAGAGCTTTGTCTCACAAAACCAAAGTGATGGCAGAGAGTTGGCTGGTAGGTAAAGCCATTTGTCACAGCAACTGACCTCCTGACTTCATCCCTAGGACTCCTATGGTGGAAGAAGAAAACAAGTCCCCCAAATCTTCCTGTAACCCCACTCCTGTGGACACAAATAAGTGACTATTAAAATAAATGTCTGCTTAAAGAAAAATATGGACCCTAACTGAGGAATGACACCTGAGGTTGATATCTGACCTCCACACACGTGCCTAACACACATGCGAATGTGAGTGCATGTGCACACGCGCACATGTGTGCACGCAAACACACACAGAAGAACTGACCTGGTGATAGAGTTTAGTATTCTTTTCTCCTAATTGTATTAACCGAACCTGGGCTCTGATGCTGATCTAGTCTGGCCATGTTACACCACTTCGTGAGCTATACCAATCCTTGAAGAAGGCATGGGAACCTGGTGGTGCTAACAGATATGTAATAAATGACTGGTGTGTCTCACTGTACCACAGTACTTAAATAGCACACGTGCGTGTGTGCGTGCGTGTGTGTGTGTGTGTGTGTGTGTACATGCACATGTGTTTATCTGAGAGTAGAAGCAAGAATTTTATCTATGGGTGTTTTTCCTCAGGGCACAGTCACTCACCTTGTTCTTGTTGTTTTTAGCTGGGTTTTGTGTGTGTGTGTGTGCATGTGTGTCTACGCATGTGCACATGTGTACATTTGTTGTTCCTGTTGTTGTTTTGAGACAATCATTAGTTCAGAACTCACCAAGCAAGCAAGGCTGAGAATGACTGAGCTTGATTTTAGACTTGGGACTGAGAGACTAGGTAGCGGACTTGACACACACCGAGAGCCAGCGTTGATATAATCTATATATTCCCCCTGTTGGTTCCTCTTATCCCAGGGCCTGGCTCCACCCCTGTGTGCCCCAAGTAAACCATCCTTATCCCTGCATCCTCCATCCGTCCTTAGAGATGCTATGCGTAGCTTTTGACATTATGACATTGTCATCTATAGAGTTCACAGTGGAGAACCACACAATCAAATTTTACACACACACACACACACACACACACACACACACACACACAGTCTCATTGTGGCAGCTACTAATGTAGCTCAGTTGGTAGAGTGCTTACCCAAGATACATAAAGCCCTGGGTTCCATCCTTACCACTACATAAAACCATGGATAGTGTTGTATGCCCACATGCTATAGCTTAGCCTGCAGAGGCAGGAGGATTAGGAGTTCAAAGTTATTCTCTGCTGTGTAGAATTCCAAATCATTCTGGGATACATGAGACTCTCTGTCAGTTAAAAACAAACGAAACAAGAACCTCATAATGTGTTAAATAAGTTCATAATTCTGTGTCTTTGTCAGTTAAAAACAAAACAAGAACCTCGTAATGTGTTAAATAAGTTTATAATTCTTTGTCGGGCTGAATTCATAGCTATCCTGTGCTGAACTGGCATGTGGTCTGCACACTGGACATGTCTGCAACCGGGATGTCCTGTTCTGAAATGAAAGAAAAGGTGCCGCCACCGTTACCCCCCTTTCCTTCTTTTCCAGAACAAGACATCTTGAGGCAGGAACTGAACACGCGTTTCCTGGCCTCTCAGAGCGCCGACCGAGGGGCTTCCCTGGGCCCTCCGCCCTACCTGCGGACCGAGTTCCATCAGCACCAGCATCAGCACCAGCACACGCATCAGCACACGCACCAGCATACCTTCACGCCGTTCCCCCACGCCATCCCACCCACTGCCATCATGCCGACGCCAGCACCTCCCATGGTGCGTACCCCAGGCAGAAATGTGAGGATAAGTAGAGCATGCAGCTTGGCTTGGGGGTTGGCATGGGCCTTGGGAGACACTGGAGAAAGGGGATGGAGAGAGGTGGCTGTGGAGGGGAGGGGGTGTTCCTTGGGTCTTGTCCATCTTTCCCAGTGAACTCTGGTTCTAGAGCCCCAGAGTGGGTGCATTTTCCTAGATGACTGTCACTGGCACCATGGATAGATTTAATTCTGGATGCCTTCCAAACACTCAGATGAAGCCTTGGAAGCTTCTGAAAGGGTTATTATGTTTGCTCGTGCATGCTGGGTGATTGTCCCCAGATCTAAAAGCGTTTAATACCAATGTAGAAATACTTGGGAAAGATTGGGAGCAAGGGGCCTGTTGGGAGGATGTTCACTCTGGGTACTGCCTCTTCCTTGATCGTATATTTCCCCTAATCCTGTTTTCCTTGAACTGCCATGTTTCTTGTTATTTTATGTTATGACAGCGCCCTAAACTTACTTTATGTCTGAGAGCAAGCAGGCAGCAGGGGCAGATGTGTCCCACAGAGATATAACTCAGCAATGACTTAGCCTGACTTTGCCTTGTCTGGGGTCTGGCACACGTGTGGAGAATTAGGATATATGTTTTAGAAACCAGAAATACCAGGGAATGGAGCTATGGTAGAATTCTGTATATATCCTAAGAGAGAGGCCTGCCCAGAGCAACGATTATCACAGTATCATATTGCTAATATTTAATATTTGAAGAAGTCCTTGAGGCTGGAGAGATGGCTCAGTAGTCAGGTGCTTCCAGAGGACCTGAGTTCAGTTCCCAGCCTCCGTGTAGCACAGCTCACAACCACCTATAACTTTAACTGCAAGGGACCCCAGCACCCTCTTCTGCCCTGCTTGGGCACATGAATACTTGTGCACATACCCCCACACAGGCACGCAGGCATGCATGTTTTTTTTTTTTTTCCTTTTAAGAATACACCTTTTCTATTCAGAGGCAAGGCTCCAAAACCCACCCCAAATCACTCGTTTTGTGCTGTGACACATTTCTCTGATACAGCAGAATCTTCCGTTTTTCTGCCACAGAAAAGATGACAATGTAGGGTATTAGTTCTTGGCATGAGGTAGATGGTGTCTTAGGTTTTTTATTGTTGTGATAAAACACTGTGACCAAAACAGCTTGGGAGAAGAAAAGGTTTATTTGACTTACATATCCAGAGCTACAGTCTACTGAGAGAAACCAAGGCAGGAACTCACATGGACAGGATCCTGGAGGCAGGAGCTGATGCAGAGACCGTGGAGGATGCTGCTTACTGGCTTGCTCCTCGTGGCTTTCTCAGACTGCCTTCTTATAGAACTCAGGACCACCAGCCCAGGGATGACCCCACCCACAATGGTCTGGGCCCTCCCCATCAATCATTTATTTAAAAAAAAAATGCCCTGAGACTTTCCTACAGCTCATCTTCTGGAGGCATTTTCTCAATTGAAATTCCCTCCTCTGAGATGACTCTCCCTTGTGTCGAGCTGACATAGAACTGTCCTGCACGGATGGGATGCCCGCTTTCCTGGTTTGTCCAAACAAGTGCCTAGTTTCTCCACTTTGGCTATTTCCCTTGTGCCAGTCCCCAGACATAGCATAGCGTCCAGGGGTTCCGCGGAGCGGGGCACGCTGGGTGGGCCTATCACAGCGTTTACATTTTGGATACTTCCAAAAGGTTGGGAGACCTGCTTGTTGTGCACCTTGAGGTTGACACAGAGGCGTGTCTAGCGGGTCCCCTCCAGTGGAGGGGTGAACGGAACGTGCAGCGGAAGTAACTAGCTTTTGCTTTTGATCCCTTTGCAGTTTGACAAATACCCCACCAAAGTTGACCCATTCTACCGGCATAGTGTGAGTTCTGCTCCTGTGCTACCCATCCGTTGTCTGCCTTTTCCATTTCCAGTGCTCTTGCCACAGATGAGCAAGCGCCTGGCAGCCTTTCCTGTCATCTGTGCAAGAGTCTCCCCATCGCTCCTGTTGTTCAGGGTCCTTGCTTGTGTGCCATTTGTTTTTTTTTGTTGTTGTTGTTTTGTTTTGTTTTTTGCTTTGTGTGGCAATGCAGTATCATCTACTGAATCTAAAGGTCATCAGCAAGCCTGCTGCCTGTGGTGGGCCAGCCTGTTAGCCTGGAACTAGAAGAATGAAGGCAGAAGGAAGGGTCAGGACTTAAGATTATCCTTGCTACATAACGTGTTCAGAGACAGCCTGGGCTGTGTGAGACCCTGTCTCACAAAAACCACACAACAATAAACCATTGGCATTGCCCCATTTTGGAAGTTGCTGAAATCACACAGCTGTCCAAAAAGAGTAGCTGGGCCGTCAGTGGAGTCATTACTGTCTTAGGAGAGTATGAAATTGCAGATTTTAGTCATCGTTCAAAACGCTAGGAACACAGAACTCCTGGGATTAAATTTCAATTCTTTCCTATAAAGAAACCGTTCCTTTCATTTTGACTCGTGCCTCTTTAAAGAGTGGCTTTTTCTTCCCTTCTAGAATTAATACAGCACCCTTTCCACATAGCCAGATTGCTATCCAGACCTTATTTCAATTGAACAATTAAAAAAAAGTCAGTTAATTTTTAAAAAAATCTTAGCTAGATGTGTTGGCACACACCTGTTACCACAGCAATTGGGAAACAGAGGCAAGAGGGTCCAGAATTCAAGGTCAGCCTTGGGCTGAGACCTTCTCTCAAAAACCAACCAAACAAACAAAAAACCAAAGCAAACAGAAAACCTTAAGATGAAAAAAAGTTGCTCTTTTTCCCTTTAGACTCATGGTTGTGATTCTGCATTGGGTAATTTTCATTATACTTGCCAGGATATAATTGGTGCTGATCTGGGTTGTATGTTGAGCCCTGTAAGAGACAAGAGCTTCTCTGTGTAGAGAGCGATCTGACTGTTCGACTGTGATAGTTTGATTATGCGGTGAATACTGCATCTATTTGACCCTCTAGTCTCTCTGCTTGCTGGTTAGTTTGTGTTTTTAAAGCGAAAACAAGGAGGAGTAGTAACTGTCGTCATGTTGATAGAGGGTGCAGTGCTAGTTGCTCTATTAGACAGCACTGTCTTAACACCCCGCTGCAATGCTGCTTAACACATCCGTAAAAGCCGGATTCATTCAAGCTTTAAATAGATGCATGCATACTGCTTACTGTGCAAGAGTATAGCTGAGCTAGCTGGACCAGAAAATACTAGAAATCAGTTCCCAGTGTTTCTTCTCTAGAGACATTTGGAACTGACCCAAGGAAGGGCTCTTGGAATTAGCCAGGCTGGGGACATAGAGCAGTCTCCTGATATGCAAGACGCCCTGGGTTTCATCCTCAGCATTGAACAAAACCAGGCATGGTAGTCCAGGCCTAAATCCCAGAGGTTGGGGGTAGAGACAAGAGACTCAAGAATTCAAGGCCCTCCTCAGCTGCATAGGGAACTTGAGGTCAGCCATGACCCTGCCAAACAGGTTGGTTAAGGGTACTTGCTGCTCTTGCAAAGGACCCGAGTTTATTTCCCAGCATCCAGGTAGGGTGGCTCATAACTGCCTCTAACTCCAGCTCCAGCAGCAGGGGAGGGCACAAGCCCTCTTCCGGCCTCCACAGGCATTCTGCGTACAGATGTGTACACACCCACAGAAGAAAAATTTAAATAAGTAATAAAAGTGGTAGGAAGGAGAGAAAAAAACAATATTTAAGTTATTCAGTCGCCATGTGATTCACCCCGGACCACAGAGCACCAGGGCACAAAAACATTTTAGCAGTGATGATGATAATTACATAGATCTGTGGGCTTCCTCTTTGAGTGCGCCTCACGGATGGTACATTCTGTCCTTACATGGTGCTTTGTAGATTTAAACGAAAGGTCAGAGAGAACGCTTGATCCCTATAGGTTTTGCCCTACAAGCATGAGTGTTTGAGTTCAACCCCTGGAACCCAAGTGAAAAGATCTGACATGATGGTCCACACTTGTAATCCCAGCATTAGGGAGGTGGAGACAGGAGGGTTCCTGAGGTTTACTGGTCGACCAGTTGGCTAGTGAGAGAGCACATCCCAGTGAGAGATGGACAGGCTGAGGAGATGGCTCAGTGAGTAAAGAATGGTTAGCACACAAGCCTGGAGACCCAGGTTCAATCCCCAGGGCCCGCATAAAGGCAGAAAGAGAACTAAATTATCAGAGTTGTCCTCTAACTTACACATACACATCCTGGCACCCTCCCAAAACATAGCATGCCCCCCACACTAATAGCAGTAAATACAATTTCTAAAAAAGCCAAGATAGACAAGATATCTCTTGACACGCTCACTGGCGTGTGCTCGTGCACACACAAACACAAAATAAACATCAAAAACAAATAAAGACCAGCTAGTGAAATCATTCTAACAAAAAGTGTCCTCTGCTCAGCGGGTGGCCCAGGCTGACTTCCTGAGATCAAAAGTGTCAGCACCATCCTCTTCATAGGCCACAGAGGGTCCCTGGATTAAAGGCAGAGGAGCAGTCTGGATGCCCGAGTGTCTGGGAAGTTTCTGTCTTACGACTGAGACAATTCAGGCTGTTAGACAAGGGGCAGGAGTCAGCTGTGTTTCTGTTCTAAGAGGTCTGCATCAGAAGGAAGGAGAGGGGAATGGGCCTCCCATTTTTCTTTTTTAATTGTAACCATTAGAGAGGAAAGGACCACTTGGAGGCAGAGTCATAGAAATTTGAGCGCTTTTAATACAGCATGTACTTAATTACCCTGCTTTATACAGCGTATTGGGGGAGAGTTATTTCATAATATTAGCGATAGTGGGTAATCTATGAAGTAGTCTCCCCTGCTTTGGGGACTAGGCCGTTATGAGGCAAATTAAGATGCAGTGCGCTCAAGTAGCTGAAAGACAATTTTAGACTTAAAAGTAGTTTTAAATGAGGGTACTTGGCTGGCAATCGCTGTTTAAGTGGATTTCGTTCAATATCAATTAGTCTGGAAAACTTCTTGGTATCTTTGTAGAGAGCAAAACGAAATAGAGCAACAGAAAACATCCCCCGCTCTGAAGATAGGGGCTTCAGAGTGTGAAGTTCGGTCATTACTGAAAACAGCTAGCCCAGTGCATTGTTAAGGGAAGCTTGTTACCGGACTTTTAACACACTAGACAGCAGTGGGGCTGGGGAGTTGCTCAAATATCGTAGAATAGTTTGATCAGGGAGTCAGAGAAATAAGATGTTTCGAGGAGCGAGACGCGCTTCTGCTGCCGTGGGTCGTGCTGTGTGTCTAGCTTGTTTGTTTTGTTTCTCCTGCTATTGTTTGTGTTTCGTAAGCCGTTGAGTCCGGAAGACGCACACTTCCTTAGACACCCTCTTTGTGCCATGTAGTGGTCAGAATCACATCAGGGCTCAGCTCCCCTTCTGTAGCCTCCCACACGCCTATTCCCTGGGCAGCCCACACAGTGCAAAGTGCCCAGAAGGCTTTCTGCTTCCTGCGTAAATATCAGGTGCCTTGTGTACCTAACAGTCTGGGGCAGGAGGAATTTCTAATTAAAGCATGGTGTCCCGGACTCCCGTGTTATCTCTGTTGCTTCAAACGATCGGCGACGGGGAAACAAGATGAGATGATTCCTTTTAGGCGGTCTATGAAAATTGGCCGTTCCATTTAAAAATGTAAACCGAGTCATTTAGTCCTCCGCAAATATCCGTCATCATTTTAGATGAGGGGATTAAATTGTCCTCTGGAAGTGCCACTCGGAGAACAACCTAATGAAGCAAGGATTGTGAATAGTCTCTTTTCTCAAACCACCAAACATCTAAATTCATTTAAAGCTCATCAAGTTTCACTATGAAATCCTGGCCCTGCTAAAACCCTTCTCTTCTTCTTCTCAGTTTTCCTCTTTTTTTTTTCCTAATCACTTGTAATTTTCTGGGCGTCTTGTTGGGCTTAGCATCCCCTGTTTTCGATATGCATGGAGGGCTTCTGTGTGATTTCTTGATTAATAATTAGCAAAGCTCCCTCTCTAATGATGTTCTCATCGGGGACACCATTTGTTGGCCGATTGATTCTGAACTACTTTTTAACTTTTTTCGTTAAACATTCATGGCGCATCTGTGTGTTCGTCTCATCATGGCTTGGCTAATGGCATCGTACCGAGATTGGTTGGCTTGCTAATGTCGATGTCTTTCTGTGGGAATTGGGACATACCATGTGCCCCCCCTACTAAAACCTTTTCTTTTTTTAAATCCCTCCCCACCTTTGGCTACAGCTCTTCCACTCCTATCCTCCTGCAGTCTCGGGTATACCCCCCATGATCCCACCCACGGGCCCTTTTGGTTCACTCCAAGGAGCGTTCCAGCCGAAGGTAAGAACCTCAGAGTGAAGATGTGGGCGCCTGTCTTAGTGGAGGGCCGGGTTAGGCATGCAGGGGGCTTTGTATCCATGCTTGTCTACCGGGATGAGTTCACAGACCCAAAGCGACCATAGGGAGCAGGATGAGACTTTATTTTCCTGGTCCGTTTGGTTTAAACCTTGGTGTTGCGAGGACCCATGTAATCTCAGTGGAGCTAGGTTTTCTATACTCTTCAAAATATGCAGAAAGGGGGTTGGAGGGATGGCTGAGTGGTTTAAGTGCTTTTTTTGGCTCTTGCAAAAGACTCAAGTTCGGTTCCCAGCACCCACATCAGGCAGTTCACAACCTGTAACTCCAGCTCCACGAGATCCAGTGCCCTCTCCTGGCATCTGTCAACACTCATACACACATGACATGCACACACAGACACACACACACTTATACATAAATAAAACCAACTGTTAAACAATATGCAGAGTACTTACATTATAGGCTCATAGAGATATTTTTTTCCTCCCCAAGCTCTAAGAAGTTTCCCCATTGACATATATTAACTATAAGAAATAATGAGTTTCATCATGACATTTCCATATATATAATATATGGAAAAACTTTGACGTGTTTGCCTCTTGTCTTCCTCTCATTCCCACTGATCTCTCCTGTGTCTTTTCCTCCTGCAAACCATCGATTTGAACTAAGGTCACATGGGACATGAGGGTCTCTTTGCAGGAATAGCCCAACTTACCAGGAGCTACACCACTGAAGAATAGGATGTTTCTTTTGGGGGGCACTGCTAGACATTAAGTATTTAGTAGAACATGCCACGTTACCTTTAAGGTGTGCGTAAGGAGGAACACACATGCAAAGTTGACTGCTGGTTGCTTTTTAATGGGGAAGGGGATAAAGGTTCCTAGACTAAAATTGTTTGCTTCTTGTTTTGTCTAAGAAAAAATTTTCTATTTACTCTCTATTCTTCACTGTATCAGTCATGAAGTCGTGCAGGGGGCGGGGAAGGGGGGTCTTCCTGGAGGTAGCAAGGGGAGGCAAAAGGTCCCCTTCTTGGTGTTCTTTCCCCCCTCCCTGTTCACCCTTAGACCCGTCTCTACAGCACCCACTCCACGCCCATTCTCACACTTGCCAGAGTCAGGGTCCATTCTTTGTTTCTGACACACTGGTTTGAAAATCCTATTTTTTAATTTTATTTTTAGGTTTATTTTACATGTATGAATATTTTGCCTGTATGTTTCTATGTGCATCACATGCATGGTTGGTGCTCAAAGAAGTCAGAAGAGGGAGCTGGAACTCCCAGAACTAGAGTTATGGATGGTCGCGAGCCATCATGTGGGAGCTAGGAACCAAGCCCAGGCCTCTATGAGAGTAACAAGTGCTCTTAACCACTGAACCATCTCCCTAGTCCTTGAAATTTGTTCACCTTTTATTCTTAGGAAGAATTAAATTGTTTTCTACCCAGCGAATAATATACAGATCAGCACAGGCTCAGTTATCCATGAAGGTCAATATTCAAATTGACAGCACTTTATCTTTTAAAAAAATTCTCCTGTGGTAGGTGATTTGGCTCAGCAGTAGAGCGTCTATCTCCCTAGACTCCCCCAGTGAGGGCCCGGGGGCATGTCTCAGACATGGACCACCTGTCTCCAAACACAATTCCCTAGGTCCAATCACGACACCATCCAAAGAATACAGAATAATATTTTATGTCCCTTATTTTACTTAAGTACTAATTTTTAAACTAAAGTGTGCTTTTCTGGTGGCCAGTCACATTTAGTCATGATGTTACACTGTGTGGTTTGGTTTCTGCCCCCTCCCCACCTCCCATTCCCATTCTTAAGCTGAAGCACCAGTCTGGGACCAGAGTCTTCTGGATTGAACACATACATTTTTCAAAGGTGTGTCGCCATAAAAACCAGAAACAGGGAAATTAAAAAGGCATTAGGGGTCGGAGGCTGCCTCTTTGAAATCACCCTTCCGTGCAGGGAACTGCAGCTCGAATGCCAGGCTCTGTGTACGCTGGGCTTTTACAGTGGCCGCGGAAAGTGGTGGCGATTTTTTAAGACTCCTTTCCCTGCTCTTCAGTAATCCCTCAGACCTTGGTCTGTCCCCACTAGGTTGTGACAAATCTCCAGTGTGTCCCCAAACAGACTGGTAGGTCATTTAATAAATTAGACTATTTCCCTCACTTGCAATTATCCAATCACACCACAAACTACATCTGGGCTAGAAAGTGTCTCTCGGTGTCGAAATACGCCTTTCCGGGCCATCTTCCTGATTGAATATGTAGATTGCTGTTCATTAGTGGAGTTCTTCATATGTATGCAAATCAGGCTGTTAACAACTGCAGCTTAATTGTTGGTTGTTCAGCACCTGATTGCTTTTCTTCTGTTCTCTCTCCCCCTTTCTTTCTTTCCCCACTTCTCCATGTAGGCAAGCTTCATGCCTAAAGTTGAGCTTCTCTCCCTGCTCCCTAACCAGTTAGTCAACCGGTTAGTGTCTAGTGTGAGGGATCCATACGGATGATATCTACTTTAAAAAAAATAAGGACCAGTCCGTGACTCAGTGGGTAAAGGCATTGGCCACCAACCCTGAGTTCGAGCCTCAGGACCGAGATGGTGGAAGGAGAGACCCAGTTCTTACAAGTTGCCCTCTTAGTTCCACATCTGCAACCTGTGACATCTGCGTGCGCATGCACACACACACACGCACGCACGCATACACACACACACACACACACATACGAATAAATTTCAATAGCCACCAGACGCTGGGAAAAGCAGGTGAGGAGGTAAAGGCGCATGCCACCAAACCCGAGGAGCTGACCTGGATGCTGGTGAGCCACAATAGTGGAAAGAAAGAATTAATACTGCAAGTTGGCCTCTGACCTCCACACACATGACCACACAGACAGACCCACACATAGGCAAACAGATACATGCAACATCTATAATCTGTATTTTTCTAATTTTTAAAATAGAAAATAGCTCCTACATCTGAGCGTGGTGGCATACACTTTCCATCCCAGACCTTGAGAGGCAGAGGCAGACAGATTTCCTGAGTTCAGCGCCAGCCCGCTCCACATAGCAAGTTTCAGGTCAACCAGGATTACATAGCGAGAACCCCTATCTCAAAAGAGAAACAACCAGAAACAAACAAACAAAAACCCTACTACTCTTTCTAAGAACCTCCCCACAAGGCATTAGCCACTGTCCCTTTGAAGTGGCCGTTTTGCCGTGTCACTGAGTCAGAAGGCAAACGTCTAGCAATGCCTTCAACATTATCCGTGGTGTTTAAGGACGGCGGTGGGAGTTGAGAGTCCAGGGGCAGAATTTACTAGCAAATCTTAAGTCGTCCCTAAACCTGGGACCCTGGTCCCCTTCCCACTATCGCTAATGAATCGCTGCTGAGTGTGATTTCTTGTTATTACCTACCAGTTAAGATGTTCAGGAAGCTTAGCATCTGTGTGCACCTCGTGTGGACACAGTGATTGTGCACTTAAGTGTTTCTTTCAATGATCGATGGTAAAAACAGGGGGAAAATGAGAAGAACAAATGAAAAACAGTGAGTTAGTGGTGTAGGTGAGCAGGGAAGAGGATTTGAGGGTAAAAGTTCCCATGTAGCTTCTTAGATCCTATAGAGGGACTAGATACATCAGAAGTTCCTGCGTAGCTCTTAGATCCTATAGAGGGACCTAAGTGGCATCTGACTTCTCATCTAGTACCGTCCCTAAGCTGCTGAGCTCCTTACACATCCCTGATAAGGAGGGACAATAGGACGAGTGTCCTAAGTTTCAGCTTTTTTTTTTTTAATTAAAAAGAAAATTTGAATTGTGTGTTTCTGTGTATGTGCATGGGAACGCAGTACCCAAGACATCAGATTCTTCTGGAGATAGAGTTCCAGGCAAACCCTCTGATGTTTGTGCTAGGGACTGAACCCAGCTCGCCTACAAGAGCAGTGCTCTTGACTGCTGAGCCACTCCTCTAGCTCAAGATTAGAGACTTAGAACCTATCTCCACCAGTGTGTTAAACTCACACACGGGTCCTGCCCCTGGGAACTCAGACACACACACGCACACGCACACACACAGCAACATCTCTAAGTATAAAGGATTTCTTTTGTTGTGTGGATTGCTTTTGGAACTCCTACCTCAGCTCTCTCTCTCTCATCCCCACCCCTAGTCCAGGAGTGTATGTACATTTGTAGTCTCGGCTCTGTGGAGACAGAGGAGAAAGGATCCCTGTGGCTATGGGCTAGCTCAAGTCTGCAGGTTCAGAGAGACCCTGTCTCAAAAAAAAGTAGGCTGAAGAGCAAACAAGGAAAATACCAGATGTCGATCTCCGGCTTCAACAGACATGCATGTGTACCTGCATGCATAAACATACAACATACACTAATAAAATTTTTTTAAAAGTTATAATTTAGAACAAGATAGGGAGATAATGTTTCATTTCTGCCGTTTTGTAAAAAGGGTAAAACTTGCTTTCTTGTGCATCCTAAGCTGTGGTCTAATTAATTTGTAGACATCCAACCCTATCGATGTGGCTGCTCGGCCTGGAACAGTCCCCCACACTCTACTCCAAAAGGATCCAAGGGTACGTGCTAAGTCAGGCTTGGTCACAGGTAATGGGGGAGGGCATTTGCAAAGGACGGTCTACCTGGTGCTCTACCTTTGATGGTTCATGTCAGAAAATGCCTGTCTGTTGTAAAAGTCACAGTCTCCCCAACTGCAAGAATGACACAGGATAATAACTTGGCTCGGATAAAAAATAAAGAGAGAGAGAAAAGATTCTGAGTCCAAAAATCGAATGCCGCCAGCCTGTCTACCTTCCATCCGACAGGTCAGCTGTCTATAGCTGCTTACAGATCCCTGGCGCAAAAGAAATGGCTACAGAATCTTCTGAATGGAAAAAGCACTGAGCACTTTCTTCCTGGAAGTTAGGCACCCATTCTCCCCCCTCCCGCCCACCTCCCGACACACACACACACACACACACACACACACACACACACACACACCACGCACACATGCACGCACACCCCTGTCTTCTTGTTTGAGGTCAGGAAGTTACTGGACCACTCTGCTCTTACAGATGGAGCATGCTCTAGAGCTAAATAAAGCATCCATTATGCCCTGGTTATGTTATTTATTCATAATTGATGCCGTGCTTGCCTGTACAACAGAAGGCGAAGCTGCGTCGTCGAGGGGAGCTTGTCAGTTGACCGCCGCTTACAGCTTTCCCTCTACGCAGTTTTTATCTTAGTGGACTTTTTTTTTTTTCCCAAGGGATGGCACATACTCACTGAAGCCAGGATATTGTAGAGACAGCCTGGGTCTACAGGGTCTGGATAAGACAGACATTTCCAGATGTCCCACCCATGTCACCCTCATTTTGTGGTCTGAGGACCACTTTCCCTGAGCCCCACCCATATGGTGGCCTGTGACAGAGCCAGTCAAAACGGGGACCCTCATGGTCTAGGTTACATGCAAGTCATGCTGGCCTAGGGCTCATCTCTGCTGGTGAAACGTGTGTGTATGGGGGAGGCTGCTTGTCATTGTGCATGTTTTCAGACTCCTGAGGTGGGGGAGGGGACACTTGCTACTTCTGATGGTGTGAAAAATGGGTTAATTATTCTCTAAAAGGGCTTCATTTAAAAGTAAAATTCTAACATTTTAATTTTCCCTCCTAATGAAGCACTACAAATTTGTTAATTAGGGCAATTGTTTGAGTGACAGGCGTGTAACCGAGTTGTCATTTTCTCTTCACAGTTGACAGATCCTTTCAGACCTATGTTAAGGGTAAGGAAAGCTTCTTCTAGAACTGTTTCTACAACCTCTGACTCTCTGCGGGTTAAAACTACAAGTCAGTAGCAGGAAGCAAGCTGGAGAGATGCCAGAGTGACTGGCAGTGGGAGTAGCTCATGCTGGCTGGTGTTGCAAGCAGGGGCTGGGAAATGGCCTAAATTTTTCTTGAGGAATTTTGCTTGAGGAAGCTGGGCCGCTGTGTTTTTCATTAGTACAACTGACAAAGGGCTAGAGAGATAGCCGTAAAGTTAAGAACACTTGCTGCTCTTGCATAAGACCCAACTTGGTGCCCAGTATCAATATTGGGTGACTAATAACTGCAGTTCCCAGGGATCCAACGCCCTCTTCTGGCCTCTGTGGGCACTACACACACACATATACCCTCACACAGATACACACATACATATAATTTAAAAGAAATACCAATCTTTTTTTTTTTTTTTAATCTTTTTTTAAAAAAGTGTAACAGACCAGGTCAGGGTGCTGTTATTGTGAGGCAAGGTCTTGCTCTTGCTCTATATCCTGCATTTGCCTTGAACCTGTGAGCTTCCTGGCTCAACCGCCCTCCCCTTTACTATACTGGGATAACAGGTAAGGGGAAGGACAAGCCGGAGGCTGGCTATAGTCGAGTCTCCTGGGTCTGTTTATTTTGCCCCAAACACTCAATACTAAGTGATGTATACCTGCCCCATTCAAGCTCCTTGCCAGCGAAGGATGGGAAGAATGCAATAATCCTAGGCAGAATGTTCCTGAGGTCTGGAGTCTGGCCAGCAGGGGACCTCTGGGTACAGACTGACTTATCTGGCACAGAGCTGGGGCAGAAAACAGATGACAGACAGTGGTTAGGTGATCCAGTTCCTGCTGCGACTGTCACACAATCCCTTTTCTCTTTGCTGTGATGTAATGCCCAGCCAACATAAGGAAGGGCGTCTTTGGCTTCTCAGTTCAAGGTTACAGTACATCATGGCCAGGAAGTGTAGGTGGCAGAACGTGGGCCAGAAGCAGAGAGATGAACACTGGCATTCAGGCTGCTCTCTCCTTTTCATTCAGTCCAGGATCCCAATCCAGGGAATAGCACCACCTTATCTAGAGTGGGTCTTCCCACCTCAGCTAACCTAATCAGCCAGTCCCTCATAAGCATGCCCAGAGGCTCACATCATCTAGGTAATTAATTTCTCATGGGTGTGCCTGGCATCTAGTTTCTTAGGGGACTCTGGGTCCTGTCACAACAGTGATGGCAGTTTTAGCCATCACAACTCCCCTTCCTCCTGTGCCCGAATTGGGTCTGTTGTTTGTGATCACAAACATCCCATAAATCTCTTAGAAGAGAGCAGACCTGGTGTCAGACTCGGTCTAAGTCAGGAGCGGCATCCTGCTGCAGAAACCAGGTAACCCTGTCCTCTGCTGGTGCAGAGCCGGGGCAGGACTTTCTCATCCTTGTGGTATTTACTGAATGAGCTTGTGGAGATACTAGGCAGAAAGGAAGGAGAAAGAGTTGGCCCCGCCTTCTCTCGCACCACACATTGATAGGTACCCTTCAGAAGGCGGAAGAGAGACTTGATCCCTGTGGGAAGGAAGGCATTCCTTTCTCCTTGCCCCTCCCCCTCCCCCGTTCCCCCTCTTCTCCTCTTTTAACGAGAAGTGAATAAACTCACGCACATGCATGGCTTACTGGCTCTCCGAGAAACATCTGAAGTTGCCAGACTGCGATGAGAACGTGACAGATCACTGTGTTGCACTTTGAGAGCCCTGTCCCCTTTCTTGTTTTGATCCGATGCACAGACATCCCCTAATTAGCTCTTCTGGACAGCTGATGTGCCTGTTAGCTTGACAGCGTGTGTTAGGTAGGGCTTGCTACTCACTTGGCCTGCCCGCTGGCACTGGGGATGACAAACCACACCGAGAGCATCAGGTCTTTGCCATCTTGTCCTTGGCAGAGAACCGCCTTGTAAAGGAGCCATGGTCTCAGGCCCACATGGGACAAGAGGATGGGGGTTCTGACTCCCTCGTGCCTGAGCTAGGAAGAGTTGCTAACGGAAGCGGGTGATTGGCTCCAAGCTCTCCTGTTCTCGTGAAAGAAAGGAAGTCGCCATGGCCCCCTATCTGCAGGGACCCCAGGGCGAACACAAGTGGGCATGCTGACGTGTCTTCCTCCTGACCAGGATGTTCTTTCTTATTCCAGAAACCAGGAAAGTGGTGCGCCATGCACGTGCACATCGCCTGGCAGATTTACCACCACCAGCAGAAGGTCAAGGTCGGTGTGGCTCTCCCTGTGTGAGCTGGGTGGGGCTGGGCTCAGGAGCCTGGGAACCTCATAGAAGGGCTTCTAAAACAAGCCAAGGCAGGAGGGAGTCTGTCTTCTTACGGTTCCTGTTGTTTTGAGATAGTCCCAGATCGTCTGAGCAGGACACGGAGGTAGCCAAGGATGACCTTGAACTCTTGATCCTCACAGAAAGGGCGAAGGGCCAGTCCATCTTCAAATGGGTACTCAGAGTCCCTTTGTAACTGAGGGAGACCATAAACACTAAAATAAATATCACCCCTTAGTGTCCTTTTCCTTTTTTGATGAACTGGTCTCATGAATGGAAAGGGTATAAAAATTGATTAATCCATAAAATAAAGTGTTTGGAAATCTATATAGAACTACTACAGAGCAAGAATTAAAATCCAAACAGGGCTTAGACAAGAGCCAGCAGGGAATGTTTTAGGGTTTGGGATCTTTTGGATTTAGCTTTACATTTATTTATGTAGTCATTGTTTGTGTGTGTGTGTGAGAGAGAGGGGGGGTCGGGGGAGAGAGTGCACGTGTGTATGTGTGTTTGTATATTACAGAACAAATCTTGGGAGTCAGTTTGCTCTACCCTGTAAGTCTCGGATCAAGCTTGAGTCACCAGGCTTGGCGGAGGATGCCTTTACCAGCCGAGCTGTCTCTTCTCCCTAGCCCGTTTGTTTGTTGGTTGATTTGTTCTTAACAAAAAATTGAGAAGCCCAAGATATGGCTGAGCAGTTAAAAATACTGACTGCTCTTGCAGAGGACCCAAGTTCAGTTCCCGGTACTCGTATCAGGCAGCTCACAACCATCTGTAACTTGAGCTGCAGAGAGTCCAGTGTGCTCTTCCAGCCTCCATGGGCACCCTGCATGGGCATTCCATGTGCACACGCTCCGACACAAATACACACAAATCAAAAATATTTTCAAAAGATTTTAAAAGATATTTTTTTTTTCATATTATGGACTTGGAGAAGTGATCCTTTCTACCCTGCAGGAAGTCGAAGGCACTGGGTGCTCATTGGCTGTGCGTATAATAATGAGCGGTCGTAAACAATTATTCTTCTAGCCATCGTATGAGTCCTTCTGGAGGCTAGAGGATACCGGGTCCTCACCAGGACTGCGACAGATAGATGTAATTCTTTAAAAAAAAGGGGGGGGGGGATGGGAGAGGGAGGAGGGAGAGGTAGAGAGGGAGGACGCATATGCAATACCAATGGACACAACAGCTTGTATTTATATATTTATATGTAGGTGTGTATATAACAAAAGAAAAAAGGGTGAGGTGACTCAGCAAGTAAGGGCACTGGCCGCCAACTCCGGGCACCTGAGTTCGATTCCCAGGCCAGCGTGATGGAAAGAGAGAACTGACTGACTCCTGAACATTACCCCCTGACTCCCACACATGCGGTGGCGCGAACCTGCACCAACACAAACATAAGTCAGAGCTAATGAAAAGAAGATGTCCGCCTCCTCTTTGAGGAACGAAGGCGTCTCTTCGTTTCCTGGGCACCTGCTCTTCCTCACACCCCATCAGTGAGTCTTGCTCACTTTTACCTGATTGCCGGGCGAGGCCTAATTAGAGCCCTTGCAGTTCGGCTCAGCGAGAAAATGGGTGCAGTGTGGAAAGCTAACTAGGTTTGCCTGATGACTTCAATTCACTCCGGGTTCTGGATGGCAGGGACAGTGGAGCAGCAGGTAAGCCCTCGTCTTCCTTGCAGCTCCCGGAGTTTAGAGAGATGAAGGATGGCAGAGAGGTCGCTCTCTTAGCAACTTCTGTTCCGTGAAAGCGCCCCTGCCGACTTGACTTTCATTATCCCAATTCAATTAGCCAGACCTCTGGAACACGGGGCGACTCGCTTCATCTTCCCCTCCCAGCGAGCGTTTTCTAATCCCCAGGCCCCCATTCTGCCTGTCGGACCTGATTCCCACTTAATGAGCCCGCACCGTCTACCATGCGATATTACCACTAAATAATTTGGCAACTAAATTAAAGGAGGGTGCTCCGAAGATTTTTATAGATTGACGGAGAATTAGAAGCTTGGTTTTGGGGTTTGGCTGTTCCTTGAGTGGGGGGGCTTTCATTATGGCATTCCCTGTAGATGGGCGCAGAAATTGCCTCTCTCTGTCTCCTGCTCCTGAATATACGTTTACTCATTCTCTTACGGATTGTTTGTGGAGACCTTGGGCCTATAGGCTGTTCCCAGTGACAGGCTCAGGGCACTGAACTTCCTGTTATCATATGTGTTCAGTAGTGAGACTCACACAGTGTGTGTGTGTGTGTGTGTGTGTGTGTGTCGTATATGTTTAAGGAAAAGGTAGTAGGCTGGGGACATAGCTCAGGTAGTAAAGTGCTTGCCTGGCAAACTTGGCAACCTGAGTTCAACCCACAGAAACCACACAAAAAACTGGTCATGGTGGCTTCCACTCACAATTCCAGAGCTGAGGGACCGAAAATAGACAGACCCCTGGCACTTGCTAGCCAGCTAGCGGAGCCTGGTGAGTTCCAGGCCATTGGTAGACCCTGTCTCTGAAAAAAGGTGGGCAGTGCCTGCCAACCATACCTAAAAATGTCCTGTGTCCTCTGTAGGCATGTGCACACATGCACACACAGTGGTGGAGGTTCTGTGTGTTCGGAGAGGTATATGGCTAGGTTTCACTTCCAGGGGAATTGATGGGTGAAAAGGGATTGGCTTATCTTCCCTTGCCTGTGATTTTCTCACTCGTGTTAGTGTAGGTGCCTGTCCTTTGTAAAGGCTTCCTCCATTACATAGCAGGGAACAGGGGGTCCTTGGAACAGAGGAGAGTTCGAGGCAGGATAAGAGTACAGTCAAGATGGCCGAGATCAACAGAGGAGCCCAGGAGACTGCAGGAGTCAAATAGAAGCAGCTCCAGGCAGTGAATCAGCAGGAGGACAGAAGGAAGTACAGCTAGCAGTAGGGGACAGACAGTGTCACTCTGGGGAGGCAGGAAGCTGACTGAGAGGGAAGGCTGTTAGAACTCTGGAAGGTGGGCACATTGGATGCCCTGCTGTTCAGATGGATACCAGCCTCCAGAATGATGCCGGGTAGGGGCCGAGGAAAAGATGGTAGGCTAAGGATGCAGTCATTGAGGGGATGGAGCCAGCAGTTAGTCACGGAAGAAGATGGAGTGAGTTCATGAGTAGGAACGACTTCACCTACCAGAGCCTCTGCCCAGCTCAGTCTGGTTTGACTTCTCCTCCTCTAGTAGTGGATGAATCTTGGAAAGGAAATGATGCCTGTTAATTAAAAATATACCCCTCCTTTTGTGTGTCTCTATGTGCATGCGCATGTGTGCTCGTGTGTGTGTGTGTGTGTGTGTGTGTGTGTAATGGGTGTTCATGTACGGTGTACATGTACAAGTGTGTGTACTTTTGTGAGGCCAAATGTCAACCTGAGACGCTGTTCCTCAGCAGCCATGCACCTTGCCCTTTGAGGCAGAGTCTCTCATTGGCCTGCAGTTCACGTACTAAGATAGGCCGGCTGATCAGTGAGCCAGCAGGATTATAATCATGCACAACCACACTTGGATTTTTTTTAAAGTGTACCCCAGGGGTCAAGCTCAGATCTTTAGTTTTGCCTGCCAAGTGCTTTACTCACTGAATTTCTCCCCAGCCTCTGTGTTCTCTACAATATGTCACAGTGATCTGATGGATGTGTTGTGATGTATTAGAATACGACAGAGAGCCATTCAGCAATTAATTTTGTACATTAGGCTGTTCCTGCAGAATTCCTGATGTAATGAGCTTTAAAAGACTATCATCTTAAAACCTGCAGGGAGAGAGAGGGGCTGGAGAGATGGGTCAGCCAGTAAGAACACTTGCTGTTTGCCGTCCTTTGCTTTCTAGGGCTGTGGCTACACACGTAGAAAAGCAACTTGGGGAGGAAAGGGTTACACTTCTGTGTCCCTGTCCATGACTGAAGAAAGTCATGGCAGGAACCTGGAGGTGGGAACTCAGGCAGAGGCTATGGAGGGACGACCGCCTGTCCGGCGTGGCACCACACACAGTGGCTGGGCCCTCCCACATCCATCATTAATCAAGAAAGTATACCACAGACTTGTTCACAGGCCAGCCTGATGGAGGCATCTTCTTAGTTGAACTTACCTCTTCCAGATTGACCCTAGCCTCTGTCAAGTTGACAAACAAAAACAAAACAACCCAAACCACTGACCAGCAACCACCTGCAACTCCTTGTAACTCTACTTCAGGGGGTCACTTGTCCTTTTCTGGACTCTGTGGGCACTCACACCCCCCCATACACACACATCACATACAAACAGTAAACAGAAATAAAATATTTGGGGGATAGGGCTTGCGTTCAGGCATGGCAGTGCACATCCGTAATCTCAGCACTGGAGAGCTGGAGGCAGAAGGATGAAGAGTTTGAGGATACCCTCAAGTATGTCACAAGTTTGAGGGCAGCCTGGGCTACCTGAAACTCTGCTTCAGAATATACCGAAAGACCCATGTCTAGGGGTGTGACTGAGCTGTAAAGTGCTTGTCTTCCATGCAGGAAGCCCTGGGTTTCACCCCTAGCACCGTGTAAGGGGTGATGGTATACTCCTCAAAAGGTGGAGGCAGGAGGGTAAGGAGTTCATGGTCGTCCTTGGTTACACAGAGGTCTCGAGGCCAGGCTAGTCTGGGCTCTGTGAGATGGACAGGTAGGGGAAGAACTTGCAGACTAGGCTTTTACAACACAGTAATGTCCTGTGTGGGGAGTGGTACTAGTGTTTGAATAAATAGGAACTGGTCGCGTCCCTCAGACTGCACCACGTCGAAGACCAAGCCCGAGTTTTGCCATTAGACGTTTCTGGTGTAGGAAGCAGGCGTTACCTTGTAGCAGCCACTGCCAGTCCCTGGAAGGTCGGGCTGGCGTCCTGGCATCTGAAGGCAGTGTTCTGACACTTGAGCCTGACAGGCTCAGAGTCCAAGTCCAAGGTTGACAGCACTGACCCACCCAGACCAGCCTTGGGTTATTCACCGATACCTCTTACCTGTCCCCCCGGTTTCATCCTCTCCCCTTCCTCTTGTTTTAGAAACAGATGCAGTCGGACCCACACAAGCTGGACTTCGGGCTGAAACCTGAGTTCCTGAGCCGTCCTCCAGGCCCCAGTCTCTTCGGGGCCATCCATCATCCCCACGATCTGGCGCGACCTTCGACTTTGTTCTCTGCCGCTGGTGAGTTCAGAGGATGGGTTGGCATGGAAAGTGCTCCAAAGTGATGTTTGGGCTCGGTGTCTCCAGTGACTTCATAGCTGAAGAACACACATGACACCAGCCTGAGAGATGGTCCTCCGCGTGGCTGGGGAGGTGGGCCCTGCTTCATCGGTACCCACACTTTTTATTCAGTCTGGATCAAGAGATAATCAGAGGCATGTGCAAAACTACTGAAAAAGATCAGCAAGCTTACCAGGGCAGATTGGAAGAGAAATGAACCCAGGGATTCCGTAATCATGAACCTAACCCCACATGTTTGTGGCCTGCAGAACAATTAGTGGGTGTTTCTTCACTGTGACCATCACACTGCCTTTTGAGGGTCTGAGGATGAAGGTGCGCAGTTAAGTTAGGTTAGCTTCGTGTGTGTGTGTGTGTGTGTGTGTGTGTGTGTGTGTGTGTGTGTGGTGTCATAGGTGTATCATGCCAGCACCTGGGAAGCAACAGCAGAAGAAACACTAATGATTCCAAGCAAGTCTGGGCTACATGGGAAACTTCAGCACAGCCTGGGCCACGGCTCCTCAAAACGAACAAACAGGGTTGGGGATTTAGCTCAGTTGATAGAGCATTTATGTAGATAGCAACTCAGCCCAGGGTTCCGTCTGCAGCACGACATCAATCGGGCATGGTGGCACACACCTGTGATCCCCAAGCTTAGGAGACTGAGACAGGTAACCAGGAGTTCAAGGTTATCCTTGGTACATAGTGAGTTCAAAGCCACCCTGGGCTGCACAAACCCCTGTCTCAAAAAAAATACTTTTTATAAACAAAGCAAGCAAACAGGGCAGAAATAAACTCGGTCCACTTGGTCCTGGCTGGCTGGTCTACTGCAGAACGTACTGCCGTTGCTTGGTTGACTTTGATGGTGGAGGACTTACCTGTAGGGTTCAGAGTGCTCCGTCCATGAGACTCACAACCTGTGCATGCACACCGCAACTCACTTCACCTTTGAGGACACACAACTGCTGGTGTCTCCGCAGAGCAGAGGGTCAGGCTGGGGAGGAGGGCAGAGGGTGTCAGAGGACTGTCCCTTTCCACTTAAGGGACATATGGATCAAATGTAGTAGCCCTAAGGAATATTTGGATATTGTCATAGTATCATTTCTGTTGATATAACAGATAACCTCTACCAGAAAAGCAACTCAAGGAAGGAAAGGGTTTGTTTGGCTTGCACTTCCAGGCGACAGTCTGTCACTGAAGAGAAGTCAGGGCAAAAACTCAGCGCAATTATTCATGTTACATCAGCCGTCAAGAGTGAAGAGAAAATAAACACACCCTAGCTGCTTGCTCTCGAAGCTCAGGGCCCTGCCTAGGGAATGGTGTTGCCCACAGTGGGCCAGGTTAATTAATAATCAAGACAGTCCCTCAAGACATACCCACAGGTCAACGTGATCTAGGTAAGTCCTCAGTTGAGATTGTCTTAGCAGGTAATTCTAGGTAGTGGCAGGTTGGCAGTTGAAACTAACCGTAATAGAACTGGGATTGTGGCTCAGTGAGTAAGCGCACTTACTGGCAATCTCTCTGTCCTCAGTTTGATTCCCTGGAGCCCACATGAGAGAGTTAACTCTTGGAAGTTGTCCTTTGACCTGTGCGCATGAGCCATAGTATGGGCACCTACACACACACACACACAAATAACCAAGCACTATGGGTCCTATTGGTACCAAGTGTCCTTAATGACTCTGTGGTTTTTTTTTTTCCTTTTTTGAGCCAACCTGGTGAGTCTGGAACTCACTGTGTAGAGCAAGTTGACTCTGAACGTAGTCTCTGCTTCAGCCTCCTGAGTGCTGAGATGACAGTTCTACCACACTGGGCTACTGTTCAATCTTTGTGGTTTGAGATGGATTTCTCGGTGTATCCCTGACTATCCAGGAACTCCCTCTGTAGACAAGGCTGGACTCGAACTCAGAGATCTGCCTGCGTCTGCCTCTGGAGTGCTGGGAGTGTGTACCACCACACCTGGCTTACCTTCTTTCCTCTTTCATTTCCCTTTCCTCCCCCTAGCCTCTCTTTTGAGGCAGGTAGCCTAAGCTGGTGTAGCCTAAGCTGCCCTGGAACTCTCTAGTAGCCCAGGCTGACCTTGAACTTCTGGTCCTCCTGTCTCCACTTACTGAGGGCCGGAACCACAACCCATGTGCCACCACACCTAGTTTATGGGGTGCTAGTGATTGAAGCCAGGTCTTCGTGCATTCCGGGCAAGCACTTTTTCTAACGGTTATGAGCTACCTCTCCAACCCACTCAGTGTTTCTTAAAACAGCTTTTAGTTCTCCGTCCCTGCCACAGAGCTCAGTAAATAGCTGAGAGTAGTGGCAGCCCATTAGCCATAGTGACAAGCCGTATGGCTTCGTCTGCTCGCGGCATGAATCTGAATTTATCCCTAGGAACAAAAACAGTGAAGGAGTCCACCATTTCTGACCCGCGGGGAACATGCTCCGCATCCATCCTGCCTACTGCCTTCCTAGGCTCTGATCCAAGACTCGTGCTTGGGAGACCCATTGACTCCTGCATGAACAAGAGAGAAGTACGGACATCATTGCAGTAGCCCTGTGGTCAAGGCAAATACATCACCAGTGGGGGATGGATGCAATTGCCAGGGTCTCGGGTTTTCCTCCTGTGGGTTCTGCCTGGGGAATGTATGTGAAGGCTCTGTTACCATGGCACCAAACTCTGGGACACGGATACATGGAGAGCAATTTCGGGAGAGAAATAGAGAGATTTCTCCCCGGACTTCATTGCAGCCAAATGGATGGATTGGCTTCTTTTGCTTCAATAATCCTGGAAATGTGGGCCTCCCCAGGGACCTGGGTCTTTGTCAGAACATTAACTAGCATGTACCACACAGTATGTGGCCCAGGTTTTATTTGGCCGGCAACACTGGTGATGGCTAATGGAGGCTGTGGAATATGTTCACATTGTGCAGAAGTTGGCTTTTACTCTTAGTACTTGTGGATAGATAGCCCCTTAGGTGCCTTCAAAGCCTGAGATTCTAGCCTTTGTCCTTGTGTGCTGAGCCTTACTCCGCAAGCCCAGGCCCCCACGACCCTTGCTGTCTCCAGGGACCAGTGATGCAGGAGAGAAATCAAGGACTAGAGAGATGGCTCAGTGTAAAAGTGTTTGCCGTACAAGTGTGAGGACAGATGCCCTTGGTGAAGACAGATAGCCAGGGCTCCTCAGGGCTGCCTTCCCAGCCGGCTTTCACATTTGAAGCTTTTAGAAATACCATTTTTACATAATTCACACATACACACACACTCCTCACACATTTCTGTTCTCTCCTCCCCTCCTTTCCCAGCTTCCTGCAGAAAAGGGATCTGGTGTGTTTTAAAGAAATATAAACGGAGGGGCGGGAGAGATGCCTCAGCAGTTAAGAACAGTCACAACTATTGCAGAGAACCTAGGTTTGATTCCCAGCACTCTCATGGTGGCTCCAAACTGTCTGCAACTTCTCTTCCAGGGAATCTAACACTTTGCAGCCTCTGCAGGAGCCAGGCACGTGGTGCTACATAAGTGCACACATCTAATAGCTTAGGCTGACCTTGAACTCCAAATGTAACTGAAGATAACCTTGAACTCGTGGCCCTCCTTCCTTTACCTCTTGAGTGCTGGTATGGCCAGCATGTGCTGCCATACCCAATTTATGCAGTGCTGAGGATGGAGTCCAGGGCTTTCTGCACACTGGGCAAGTATTCTACCAGCTGAGCCACACTGAGGATTTGGGGGTTCAAACTGCAAGAAAGTGTCTTTTCCTGGCCCTGGAAATTAAAAGGCATTAGAAGTCTTAGCCTCCTGTCTTTTGGTGTCAGCTCCCAGCAGTACATTTGGTGGTGAGAGCCTGGGTGCTAAGAACCTACACACCCCTCAGTCATGGGAGTGGGACTTGGCAGCGCTGTCTGCAGCCTCAGAACCACTCATGAAGTGAAAGACTCATCCCTGGGGTGCTGAAAAAGCAGCCCTGGGCCTGCCACTCTACTTTAGACTCATAAGCCTGTATCTCTGCAGACAAACTTGGTTACAGAAGGTCCCTGTGCTCTGGATGCACCCCCATCCCACTAGCGCCAGGCCTGATGCTGGTGTCGTCAACTTCATAAAGAGATACTTGTGGGGACGGTCAGGGAAGTGCTTACTGCATAGCACGAGGGTCTGAACCCCTATAGCTAGCCATGGCAGTGTGCTGAGGAGGTGGAGCCATGGGGTTCTCTGGATCTCACTGGTGAACCAGAGTAGCAGGATCAGTAAGAGTTTCCAGGGTCAGCGATAGACTCTGCCCCCCAAAATAAGGTACAGGATGACTGAGGAAGACACTCAACATCAACCGCTGGACACCACATGCACATATTTGCACATATGCACACATGTATGCACACACACACACACACACACACGTAGTAAATGACTGTGCTTACGGTGGCTAGCCATCTTAGTTTGCTTTCTTTTGCTGTGATAAAACACCATGACCAAAAGCAACTCAAAAAAAGGCGGGGGAGAATTTATTTCCATCATGAAGAGAAGTCAGAGCTCGAACCTGGTGGCAGGAACTGAAGCAGAGGGCGTGGAGGATCATTAGTTCCTGACTTGCTCTATAGGCTCACATTCGCCTTTCTTATACCACCCAGGACCCCCTGCACAGGGGTGGCACCACCACGTCAGTCATTAGTGGCGAAGGTGCCCCCAGCCTTGCTCACTCACAGGCCAATTTGATGGGGGCATCTTCTCAAAGAAAGGTCCCTCTTCACAGATGGCTCCAGCTCGGTGTCCAGTTGACAAAAGCTAAGTGGGCCACCAATCCAACTGGGAAATATGGGAGGGGCGACTTCTCTTGCCCCCAACAAGAATATTGTCTGTTACCAAGTTGTATCTGCAGGAGCTGTGGATGCAATGGAGCTTGACTTCAACACCATTTCTCTGGTCCCTCTAGCAAGGGCTTTTTCTAAATTCTGGCTTTGCTCTGTTTGGCTTGGCAGGTGCTACACATCCTACCGGGACCCCCTTTGGGCCGCCACCTCATCACAGTAACTTTCTCAACCCTGCCGCTCACCTAGGTGAGTCAGAAAGATGGAGCGATCCTCCCGGCAGCCTAGCCGTGGCAGCCGCTAAGCCTTCCGAAGATCTCCAGCCCCGGGTGGGGTGGGGTAGGGAAGGATGGGGTAGGGTAGGGAGGGATGGGATGGGGTGGGGTGGGGTGGGATAGCAGCCGCTGGTCACATTGTGCATTCAGGAGGCAGAGAGAGACGGATGCTGGTGCTCAGCTCCCTTTCTCCTTTTTATTCAGTCCAGGACCCACCCAGTGGGCTGCTACCACACACACTAAGGGTGGGTTGGCCCACCTCAACCTAATCTAGACACCCCTTCACATCTGTACCTAGAAGGTGTCCCCCTACATGAGTCGAGATCCAGTTAAGTTGACACTAGGTGTTAACCATCACAGGGGACTTGGAACAGGGAAGTAATCCTGGGCATCTCAGAACACGTGTGTTTAGGGTGGACTCACCTTAACTGTAGAGGACACTTAGGGGTTCCTCTAGAAGGACAGATGTGGCAAGCATTGTAAGAGCACTGCATTGAAGAGCTGTGCTTTTTGCTTTTGGTTTTTCACGCTTGATTAACAGGTCCCTCCTTAGGAGAGGCACACTTCCTGTGTCTTTTGGTTTAACATTTCCGGGAAGTGTGCAGTCAGTCGCAGGCAGCGGTGCCTGGTGGGAAATATATAGGAGAATTTATTATTATTATTATTATTGTTGTTGTTGTTATTATTATTATTATTTGGATTTTTGAGACAAGGTCTCCATGCAACTCTGGCAGTCTTGGAACTCACTATGTAGATCAGGCTAGCCTCAAACTCAACAGTGATTTGTCTGCCTCTACCTCCCAAACGCTGAGATTTAAGGCATACGCTACCACCACCCAGCTTTTATTTCTTTTATTTGGCCTGTATGGGTGTTTTGCCTTCATGAATGCCTGCGTGTGTGCCTGCATTGCTCTTGGAGGCCAAAAGAGGGTAGCAGGCTCCCTGGCACTGGAGTTGTAGACAATTGTGAGCTGCCCTGTGGGTGCTGGGAGTCACACTCCAGGTCGTCTGGAAGGGCAGTGGCCCTCCTCACCACTGAGCCCTCTCTCCAGCCTGGCATCATCTCAGTTTTGTTCAGGCATGTAATCTCAGCAGATAGAAATGAGGCAGGAGGATCAGTTCAAGTCTAGCCGTGACTTATATCAAGTTTGAAGGCAGCCTGAGTTCAGTGAGACCATGTCTAAAGCAATGAGAGAAGGGAGACTCACACAGAGACAGAAGCCTTTTGCAGGCAGGAAGGCAGCTGAGGATGCCGGCTCCTGAGTTTGCCCAGTGCAAGGGTGAAATCAGAAAGAATAGCACCCTGGAAAATGAGTCCCCTTGGGACTCATGCTAACCCAAGCACAGGAATAGAAGAATACCTTTACATGATCCAGCGGGAGAGTCGAGGTGTAGCAAAGAGAGTCTGTCGTGTTCCCAGCTCCTGGAACACCTGTGTTCCTCACTGACATGTCCCTGACCACCCCTCTCTTCCTTCCTGATCTCATTCACAGAGCCTTTTAACCGGCCGTCGACATTCACGGGCCTTGCCGCGGTCGGCGGCAACGCCTTCGGTGGACTTGGAAACCCTTCAGTTAGTGAGTACCTCTCGATTTCTCTATCTCCCTTGTGCAGTTTCTCTGACCCATATATGGCTTTAGACCTTGTGGAGGCAAAGGGAGACTTCGGGAAAACTAGTTTAAGCGGAATATATGGGTCAGTGATAGAGCACTTGCCTAAAATCTCGGGGCGTGGCTCAGTGATGGGAGCTTGTTGAGCATGGGCAAGGCCTGGAGCCCCTTCCCCCGGCACCTCCTAAAATCATGTAGAAACAGAAGGGACCGGTGTGGAGGCACACGCCTTTAATCCCAGCCCTCCAGAGGCAGAGGCAGGGGGATCTCTCTGAGTGTGAGGCCGCCTGCTCTATAGAGAGAGTTCCAGGCCTGCCAGAGCTGCATAGCAAGACCCTGTTGAAATGAAAACCAAGGTCCCATGAAAGGATAATGTCATCTGGAGATGGAGAGACGTAGCCCCGTCGGAAGGAGTGCTTGCTGCTCTTCCAGGGGACCCAGACTTGGTTCTCAGCACCCACCTGACAACCCCTAACCACTGTAGCTCCAGTGCCAAGGCATCTGGTGCCTTCTCCTGGCCTCGACAGGCTGGCCATCAGGCGCACACACGGCATGCCTGTACACATGCAGGCAGACACCCGTGCACGTGAAGTAAAAATAAACAAATGTGTGCGTGCTTTCACGAGAGGGTTTGTCTAAAGCCAAGATGGGTTAGAGCATTCCAAATCCAGGGGTCAGGGTGAAGCTCGTCGAAGTACACAAGCCGTGTTGTAAGCAGAGCACGCCGCTGACCCGGGCTCTGTGCGTCAGGAGCTACTACAAGACGTTTGCCTTGGCCACAGCTGAAAAGAGGAAAATTTACTTTCCCTTTACTTTTGACGTAGCAAGACTGAAGAAAAGCCCAATGGGGAATAACGGGCATAGTGATGTGACTCAGTGGGTAGAGAACTTGCCTGGCATGCAGGAAGTCCTCCGTGCCCAGGAGTACATAGACAGGGATATGGCACAAGCCTGCAGTCCCAGCTTCCTGGGAAGATGGAGGCCCATCCTTAGCTACTTAGGGAGTCTGAGGCCATGCAGGGATCCATAAGACCTCATCTCAGGAAGGAAGGAGGCAAGCAAGCAAACAGAAACCCGGCACATTGTGCTGCTTGATCTTTCTGGATGTCCGTTGTAACTGATGCTGTGGAAGGAGTAGCATTTGGCAGGGTGTGGTAGACAGAGGGCCAGTGGATGCTGCTGAGCTGGCCTGTCCCTCTGTCGTATGGTCATGGTGCACCTTTCTGCATGCCTTTAACTTTGCATGCCCACCTGTGTCCGACAGGGCATCTGCACACCCGCTCCGTCCCTTCTCACTTCTTCCTCTTCATTGAATTTTTAAAAAAAAAAAAAAAAAAAAGCTGTGAGCTGCCTCTGCAGTATAGGACGAGTGTTCCTCTAATGAGTGTGTTAATCTCCTTTCCTTTTCCAGCTGCCAATAACATGTATTCATTTTAACTCTGAATGCTGTTAAAGTTTTTGGTAAGTACCTTCACTCCGGCAGGTCTCTATCGAGATTTCTCTGAAACCTTTTTTGTTCTCCACTTCACCATTTCAGCACCCAACTCAGTGTTCGGCCACAAGGATAGCCCCAGTGTGCAGAACTTTAGCAATCCTCACGAGCCCTGGAACCGGCTGCACCGAACGCCTCCGTCGTTCCCGACCCCTCCGCCCTGGCTGAAGCCAGGGGAGTTGGAGCGCAGTGCGTCCGCTGCAGCCCATGACAGAGATAGAGATGTAGATAAACGAGACTCCTCCGTTAGTAAAGATGACAAGGAAAGGTACGGAAAGAAACCGCCCTGTGCTGCCCTGTGCCGCGCTCCAGTCAGAACCAGCCGCCTCCCCTCTCCCTTGCCCCAGCCTTGTGCTTTACGACCTCTGCAGCACCCCCAGGTCCTCGCCAGTCCATCCCCAGCGCCCCTCCCTGCACTCTATGGTACCCAGCGGATGGTGACCGTCAGCTGTCACTAGAACGTAGCGCAAGGTGCCTGTCTCAGAAGCAGTGAACACATCCAAGCCCCCCACAGCCCCTGGAACATTAGTGTGTCCACATAGACATCTTCCTACAGACAACCAGTTGGAGCTTGGAGCCAGACACACACACACAGCATGTATCTGCCATGTTTGCTTTTGAGTCACCAAGGCCATTCAGTCACCCATAGGTTCTTTTGGCTTTTGTTTGGTTGGTTTTTTCCCCCCCTCCCTTTCCATTTGCTTCTAGTCAGTCATGTTTACATTACCTCATCCTCTTTCTCTCAAGTGTCATCCAGACTCCAAACCCTGGGGCTCACAGACAATCAGCACAACTTTGTGCTTGTTGCTTTGACTAAGCTGACTTTAGACCGCGGCACCAGGAAGCTCTGCTTTGCGTTTGCTTTTCCAGGGAATTATTAATTTTAGTAGCCATTGTTGTCTCCATACTAACTAACCCTTTCCTAAAAAAAAAGAAAAAAATCTATCTTCCAAGAAGAAATGTCTCAGTAGTTTTGTGCAGACTGCCCAACATACATTCGTTTCTTTCTTTCGGCTGTTTTAATTTGGAATGAAAAACTAATAAGTTCTGGGCAAAAGTCATACAAAACAAAACCACCCCAACCCCTGTTGGTAATGTCTTTGGTGTTTAGGATTGAAATTTAAGATTGCTCAGTAGGTAATGCACTTAGGCCGGCGAGCCTAAGGGTCTGAGTTCAGATCCTCCGCATCCATACAAAGCTGGGCACAGTTGTGAGTGAGTGTGTGTGTGTGTGTGTGTGTGTGTGTGTGTGTGTGTGTGTTCCCAAGCTCTTGTCCCACCTTGCCTTTGTGTCTGACGCCCCCGACTGTCCTCTAACCTCCACAATCTCTTGATGGTCTGCACCTGCAAGTACACACACACAGAGACACACACAGAGAAATTCAAATGTGATTCAGATCTTTGACTTTCTTCTGCTTTCTGTATTGTGCATTTATATGCCCTGGTTATTTAAAATAAGTCATCGTTTCGAATTCTAAAATGTAACCGCTAAAGTGGCGTACTTCTTTAATCCCAGCACTCCAGAGGTAGAGGCCGGTGGATCTCTGAGTTGGAGGATAGCTTGGTCTACATGAGCCAGACAGGGCTACCTAGAGCAACCCTGTCTCAGGAAAATGGACTTAGATGTCTTTCATTGGTTCCTTATGGGAGGAAAAAGATAAATTACCATTTAAGGAAGTTGTGGTTTTGTTTTGTTTTTTAAAACTCAGCCTATAGGAATTCTAAAGTGCTAAGGGGATCACTCCCATGGACCCTGGGTTTCCTGTATCACATTATTATTATTATTATTGTTGTTGTTGTTGTTGTTATCATCATCATTATTTTTGATTTTTCAAGACAGGGTAGCTTTGGTGCCTGTACAGGCTGGTCTCAAACTCCCAGAGATCCACCTGCCTCTGCCTCTCTAGTGCACCACCCCCGCCCGGCTCACTTCCTGTAGAGTAGAAAGTAGATTGTGGTCAGCAGGCGTCCTTTGGTTTTTCTTGATGGAGAAGTAGCCTCTTGGACGGAAGTCAAGAAACTTGAAATTTCTTTTTATTCTTTTTCCCCTTTAGGGCTCTTCTTGTTAGCATGTGTATGTTAGCAGGAAGGGGGATTTCTTTCCCCAGCACCCCCCCATCTTCTCCAGCACCCCCGTCTCCCCAGCACCCCCACGGTGGTCCCCTGCACTCTGATCTCTGCCACCTTTGGTCCACACAACCTCTGGCTTCTCCCTTCACCTATTCCACATCCATCTTGAGATGGGTTCTGGGAAGCATCAGCTCTCTTCTCCCCTCTTACTTCTCTGCGTTTGGACTGTTATTGTGCCTTTTATCCCCAGTCCATAGACACATCCCGACGAAGCCAGGTCCCTAAAAATTTCCTTTTATGGTCCCTTCATGGGTTCGCTCCTACGGGGTCCTCAGTCTGTGAGGTTTTGTGTTCTGACCCCCATGTCTGCTACTGCCTAGTCTGTCTCTGCATCAGATTGGAGCTCTCTCGACAGTCCAGTTATCTGGAGGGTGGGGCTGCCTTTCCAACTACCCTTGGTGTATACTTACATCCTTCAACCTGAAGAAGTGCCTTTGTTCCCAGGGTCAGCTGTGGAAATCTATGTTTCTAGATTAAACCTTTGCCCTCCTCAATTTTATATGCAGAGTCAGAAGAAGTCATAATATGTGTTTGGCCTGTACTCTTAACCCAAAGCTTTCCTGAGACGCTAAACACGTGGACTGTCTTGCGGTGTTCCTCAGTGACCACCCTGGTCCACAGTGGCGCTCCCTGCATTTCCTTGGTGACCTTAATCAAGGCAGGTCCTTGGGACCCCCCACTCACCCTCATCTGTAGGCCTTCACCCATGAAGCTGCCTCTAGAATCTAGATTAGAGCAGGTGGCTGACTTTGCCCTGACATGGGGCACTGCCCCGCTCCCTGGGTGATCTAGCTGTCTTCACCACCATCTCATTGACTGTTCCTTGCCTGCCTGGCAAGCCCATTTCATGTTTTCCCCTCTCCCCCTCACAGGGAAAGCGTTGAGAAAAGACACCCCAGCCATCCTTCCCCAGCACCTCCCGTCCCGGTGAGCGCCCTGGGCCACAACCGCAGCTCTACCGATCCGACGACCAGGGGTCATTTGAATACTGAGGCTCGTGAGAAAGATAAACCAAAAGAGAGGGAGAGAGACCACTCGGGATCCCGAAAGGACCTGACCACCGAAGAGCACAAAGCCAAGGAAGGCCACCTGCCCGAGAGAGATGGGCATAGCCACGAGGGACGTGTAGCAGGCGAGGAACCCAAGCAACTGTCCCGGGTGCCATCACCCTATGTGAGGACACCAGGTGTGGATAGCGCGAGGCCTAATAGCACCTCCAGCCGGGAGGCCGAGCCACGCAAGGGTGAGCCGGCCTATGAGAACCCCAAGAAGAGCGCCGAGGTCAAGGTCAAAGAGGAACGCAAGGAAGACCACGACCTACCTACAGAGGCCCCACAGGCCCACAGGACCTCCGAGGCACCTCCACCCAGCTCCTCAGCCAGCGCCAGCGTGCACCCGGGGCCTCTGGGATCCATGCCCATGACCGTGGGAGTGACTGGTATCCATGCCATGAACAGTATCGGTAGCCTGGACAGGACACGCATGATGACCCCGTTTATGGGCCTCAGCCCCATCCCAGGGGGGGAGCGCTTCCCATACCCCTCTTTCCACTGGGACCCCATGAGGGACCCCTTGAGGGATCCTTACCGTGACTTGGACATGCACCGAAGGGACCCTCTGGGCAGGGACTTCCTGCTCAGGAATGACCCCCTGCACCGGCTCTCCACACCCCGGTTGTACGAAGCCGACCGTTCCTTCAGAGACAGGGAGCCTCATGATTATAGCCACCATCATCACCACCACCACCACCCGCTAGCTGTGGACCCTCGACGGGAGCATGAACGGGGCGGACACCTAGATGAACGCGAGCGGCTGCACGTGCTTCGGGAGGACTACGAGCACCCACGGTTGCACCCCGTGCACCCCGCTTCTCTGGATGGACACCTCCCACACCCGAGCCTGCTCACGCCAGGCCTGCCCAGTATGCACTACCCTCGCATCAGCCCTACCGCGGGCCACCAGAATGGACTGCTCAACAAGACCCCGCCCACCGCGGCACTCAGCGCCCCACCTCCGCTCATTTCCACACTGGGGGGCCGCCCAGGATCCCCCCGGAGGACTACGCCTCTGTCGGCTGAAATCCGAGAAAGGCCACCGTCCCACACACTGAAGGACATCGAAGCTCGATAAGTCAGGAGGACGAGGCAGACCTCAGAGTTGGGGGAAAAACCCCAGGGACACCCCCCTCAAGACTCAAGAGACAACTCCTGCACCCCCAAAATTGAGAGGTGCAGAGCTCCAACTCTTCCCCTTGGAAAAAAAAAATGGACAGAGACTCCGTTTGGGTGTTGAAATGTTTTGTATATTAATGTTGGAATTTTTTCAGACCTTTTATCCAGACCTGTTTGTCCTTACATCTCCTTACTTTTTGATTTGGTTGTTCCTTGCATCAAATTTTGATTTGAACCAAAACGGTGAAGGTTATGACACACAAGGATCTGACGCTATGGGGGTGAGGGGCGCCTGTCCGTCACCCAGAGCTGTCCCAGAGGAGGAGGCGTGTACATAGGTTGTAAAAAGAGATTGCTTCATGAGCTGACGGTTCATATATGCAAAAGATAAAGACGAAAGCTTTACTTGTACACATGTAAATAGGTAAAGATTAAGTAACGTAATACATTAATACTTCTTCAGATGTGCTATTTACAAGTCTAATGTCCGTGAACTTGGCCCTCCAAGGAGGCCCTGTTCCCACCTGCTAAATCCTTCAACTATGCAATGAACACGCGGGCTTTTCCCCAAAGCCCATGAATCTCAAAGGAGCCTTTTCAAATCCATTTACAACATATTTAAGGTCATAGTTTCCCTGAACAAGCGCTTACCTGAGACGTTATACAGCTGTTTTCCTTTTTTTTTTTTATTTTCAGTTTTTTGTTTGTTTGTTTTTCAAATGGAGGGAACATGCCTCCCCCGCCCCCCCCTTTTTTTTTTTAAATCTGGAACCCAGGCTGGAACTTCGCATCTGAAGTTGCTGCTTGTGGTCTTCCCTGGAGAAATGGGGAAAGGTGCGCCCGCCCCCTTATGCCCCTCTGGAAGTGGAACTAAGCCCGAAGTAGCTTTGCCCAGGGAAGATGGGATTGTTCTTTGATAATCAGGGGCAGATGGGTCGTGTCTGCCAGGCACAGAGAGGTCACCAGAATTTCTGGTCACCTCTGAGGTCGTGATGTTGCAGGCAGCTTCAAGTGGGAACCTTGCCTTTCCCACCCTCCACCCTGAGTCCTATCTCCTAGCATGTTCACACTTCCTCGTTCCATAATGTGATTTATGGACACTCACACAGATCCCAAAAGAAAGCTGTCCGGGTTTCCTTCGCGGATGGGTATGTTTCCACGGTAACTGCCGAATTGAAGGTACACGGAGCGCAATGTGAATCGTTGATACTCCAATAGGAAATGGAAGCCTGGGAAGAGCTGAACAAGTAGATTGTGTCAGAGCCATCAGGAATTACCGAGGGCGAAAGGTGGCAGAAGTGTGCGCGTGAGTGTGTGTGTGTGTGTGTGTTTGCGCGTGTGCACTCTTGTGCCAGCGTGTGAGCGCCTGTGTGTGTGTGTGCTCTTGTGCAAGCGTGCGCGCTCGTGTGTGTGTGTGTGTGTGTGTTGAGTTTTCATCAGTCTTAATGTCTTCATGACAATTTTATAAAGACATTAACCCTCTTGTCTACATATTTGGAGAGAATATGACTTTACTAGCCGAGAAAATACAATATATCTTGTCTACTGGCCTGTAAGATACATGTAAGAAATAAAAATTAGTCCCATTTGGTCCTCTAGTACATTAAAGTGCTACCTGATATTGTTATCCTGTTTGTTTGTTTTTTTCCAAAAAAGAAAAAACCCCTGTAAACTACAGACCATTGTTTTTAAAAGCAGAGAGATCTATTTTAGTAGGCAACTGAAGGTTTAGTTGTGAATTCAGATTTTGTGGACACCAGACGTGTGCAGTGTTTTCTTTCTTTTTCTTTTTCTTTTTCTGTTTGTTTTGTTTCATTTTTTTTTTTTAAAGATAACAACTGAAAAAAATCCCCAGGATTCTGTGCACTGGAACCGTAGTGGTAGCTCTCAGCATTGTAAAGGGATTGTTCTGTACAGGCCTTTTTGCTGTTTCTCTTGTATGTAAAAAAAAAAAAAAAAGAAAAGAAAAAAAAAGAAAAAAAATAAGTCCTTTCCGGATCCTACTCGAACAGGAAGGGAAGCAACGGAATCTTTAGCATGTCTCATTGGAGGAGCCTCCGTGTGTAATGTAAATGTGCCATGTTATTAAAAAATGTGAACCAAGTTTCCAGAGTTTCTTTGTGCGAGGTGCCACTTATAGTTAGGAAAGAAGCCTCCAGCAATCTAGACCAAGTTCTAGAAAAGACCCCCCACCCCTGGCCTTGCGTCCCTCAGGGCCAGAATAGTAAGGTCCTCTTCACAGTAGCAAGTCACCTTCCAAAACCAGGTACTGACCAGCATCCTTTGGCCATGGTGCGTCTGTGTATGTGTTCCTTTGTATGTTCTGAATGAAAGAAATGTCCCGAGGGAACCGGTTGTAGCTCAGTTGGAAGAATCTTCACCTAGCACACACAAAGCCCCGCGGTCCACTCCCAGCACTGAAGAAAGCGGATGCTGTGTACACCTGTTATCCTAGGACTGGGGAGGCGGAGGCAGAAGGATTAGAAATTCCAGGTCTTGACCAGAGAGGGGGCTCAGCAGGATAAAGCATTTGTCATCACGCCATACAATTTGAGTTTCATCACTGGGACCCACTTGGAAGGAGAGAATTGACTCCTGAAAAGCTCGCTCGCTCGCTCTCTCTCTCTCTCTCTCTCTCTCTCTCTCTCTATCTATCTATCTATCTCTTTCACGCACGCATGCACCCATGTTAGTTTTTACAATTCAAGGTCATCCTTAAGGCCAGTCTAGCCTACGTGAGACCCTGTCTGAAAGAAAGAGGCAGGGTAAATTTCCTTATTTTTAGACTATTAAAATAAGGGAGCTAGCTGGAGGGCAGGGTAAAGTCACTAACCGCCGACCTGGACTCCCTGAGTTCTGTCTCGTGGTAGATCCCTGTAGTAGAAGAGAACAGACTCCTAAAAGTTGTCTTCTGACCTCCACATGTGTACCCACACACACACACCTGTGTACACATGTACAAACGTACAAAAATAAGTGTAATTTTTCATTTAAATCTGCTAAATTCACCGTTTGGATTAAGGTTTGTGCCTCACTGGAGAAAAGAGAAAGAAAGCAATCAAGGTCAGTTGAGACGAGGTGCTGGGCAAACTTGGGACACAGAGAACAGAAATCAGGGAGGCTGTAAGATAATGGTTCTCAACCTTCCAAATGCGACCCTTTCCTCAGTGGCCCCCACGCCATAAAATTATTTCATTGCTACTTTTTAACTGTAATTTAACTAAGGGGTCCTGACCCCTAGGTTGAGAACTATTGCTGTATGGCTTCCCAAGGTGCCACAGCGCTCTTGGAGAGGTCTGGAGACATGTGACAGGACTCCTGGCTGGGGGAGGGTCACAAGGTGAGCCCACAGGCTTCAAGAAGCTGAGCTGGGAGACTGGAGCGATGGATCAGCTGTTAAGAGCGTTTGACGTTCTTACAAATTGCGTTCCCAGCACAGAAGTCCCAACCACGTGTAACTCCGGCTCCCAGGGACCCCACATGCTCTTCTGACGCCCAAGAGCAAATGTAGCCACATGTGTATCTGTGTGCCTATCCCTCCCCACCACCACCACACACACACAAATAATAAGATAAATCCAAAATAAACCAACCTGGGGACGTAACTCAGTAACAGAGGACATTGCGGGAGAAAACAAAACAAACAAATCCAACAACCCCTAAACCTAAAAGGGTCAGAGCGACAGTTGGGTAAAGTCCACTTGGCTGAGCATCATTTCATAGCTAGAGGAACTGCCAGAAAATAAACAACGGGAAGAGAAGAAAACCAGTGGGTTGGAAAATACACCAAACCCCGGGCTTTGCTGTACCACAGGCGTCACAGACGGTCTTTGACATGCTATTTCTGGCAGACCTGGCTGCCTCTTCACCGTACACCTATTTCAGTATCGCCATCTGCAGAGTCAGATCCCAGAAGAGTCGCTCTCCAATCAGTCATGGTGGCTGATCCCCGCGGCTTTGATTCATCTCAACCTTTGCATATTTCCCCTCTAATTGCATTGGGCGCCTCAGCATTGATGGGTACCGGCACCAATTTGATTCCCTGCTACCCTCTGGATGCTCTAATTATCTCCACAATCTCTGACTGACAATGATCTTGTTACCTTCTAATGGTACATGACAGGTGAAATAGCGAATATAATGATGCGATAATTACCGCCCTGGATGGATATTTGTGACGGCGGTAGCTGTGCATCCTTTCTCTGCCTCAATCAAGGCGGAAGGGGAAAGTAAGATGCAATTGTTGACGGCCTGTATGTACAGTGCATAAAAAGTGGAGGGGGGGGAGAGAGAATTCTGTGGTGCAGTTAGCCAAGACCTCTGTCCTGCTTGACTTCGTATTGGAAAACAAGATAGGCCTCTGTGGCAATAATGAAGCTGAAAGAGAAGGGATAATATGAGCAGGGTGTGTGTGTGTGTGTGTGTGTGTGTGTGTGTGTGTGTTTAAATTCTTGACATTTTGTGTGTGCTTCTGAGGAATCTATGAAATATAACATATTTGCCAGAACATAATCGGTTCTTGATCAGACAGAGAGTTGGAAGCTGGAGAGGCATCTCTGTCGGTAGAGTTCATGTCTGCCATGTGTGGAGCGCTGTGTTCATCCCCAGTTCTGAATAAACACTGAGAGATGGTACACACTGTCATCTCAGGACTCAGGAGGCTGAGGCAGGGGGATAAGAAGTTCAAAGTTGTCCTTGACTACATAGCAAGTTTGAGGCCAGTCTGGGCTACATGAGCTCCTGTTAAAAAAAAGGGGGGGGGCTGGAGAGATGGCTCAGCAGTTAAGAGCATTGCCTGCTCTTCCAAAGGTCCTGAGTTCAATTCCCAGCAACCACATGGTGGCTCACAACCATCTGTAATGAGGTCTGGTGCCCTCTTCTGGCCTTCAAGCATATGTGCAGACAGAATATTGTACACATCATCATCATCATAATCATTATCATAATAATAATAATAATAATAATAATAATAAACAACTCAACTTCTTCCTGTCATTGTACAGCATGAAGCTGCTGATATTCTTTGATTGTCTTCACAGGTATGAAGCCAAAGTTGTCATATCTCAGGTAGAAAGTGCTAGAAGCTTCTGATGAAAGATACAGTGAGAAACAGTCCTTGAGACAGCATTGACAGTCTACCTTTACCTACCTGTGTCCTTAGCAACCCGAGAAAACTCAGAACCTCTCTAGATCTCAGTTTTTCTATCGCCTGCCCATCTCCAACTGCTGTACTGGTGACCTAGGGCCTGGAATGTGCTGGGCAAATGCCCCAAACAACTGAGCCATGATCCCAGCCCTTCACAGGGGGAGTTCTAGGCAGGGGCTCTACCACTGAGCCACACCCCAGCCCCTCACTG